TAATTAATTGAAAAAGATATTTAAATATTAATCGTACAGTTGCTATATTAAATTATATAAAAAAAAAAATTGTTAAAATTTAAGTGGGCTGTTAATAATATATGTATGAGAAATATTATAATCAGTGCCATGCAAGCAATGTGACAAATTGTCAATTACGAATTTATAATTATAACATTTGATGATTTTAGCGAATCGAGTCCGAAAATATAAAACATAAAAATGCGCACTGCTCTTTTTCAATGGGACCAAATTTTTCAATTTCACTTGGTTTTGCAATTGGACCAAAACATACAATTTTATAAGTTTATACCGTATTTTAACGACATATTTTCTTTTTGTAGCCGATAGTTGATATTTAACACTACGATCGATATTGATGTTACTCAATCTGAAAGTTTATTACTTTTTTGTATTTTTTTTTCTGCTGTTATTCGAAACTGTTATTAAAATATACATCGATATTTCTTTCAATTAATCTTCTCAATTTGAATAACTGTTTGATAAAAAAAAGTATTTATAAATAAAAATAACAACTTTCTAATACGTAGTTAATTTACTCTTGATCAATTTATATCGTAATTTAAGTTTTTATAATGAATACGGCTTTAATAATTCATTACAAATGTACTTATTTCGTTTATTTTTAAGATGTTTTTGTTTCAAATAAGGTATTCTCTGGCTATAATAGAATCATATATTTGCAAAACTGTAATTATCGTGCCAATTTTCTGTTGAAGCGTCTTTGTTATCAGTCAATCTTTTCTTCTCAAGACGCATGTTCAATAAGTGTCGTTTTAAATGAAAAAACTTTACCTACAATAATTATAGAACAGATTATGATTGCTGCTTGAATAGGTCGTACGTAATATTTATATTCCACTTCGAGAATCCACATTGTGAAGGTGAAACGGTAGTAGTTCATGTATGCGGTCATCGCTTACTTACGTATTTTATTTGGGAGCGTCGTAAGGCCAGGGACATAAACACTATATGTAAGTGGAATTTAAGCGTGACATGTGTTAACGGCAATGATAATGATATGATAGTTATTAACTTATATTCGTGTAGAGGGGTATGTAAGTAATAATGTCTTGTGGCTTCTATTTAACTGTGATCTGGATGATCGATTTCAAAGTTAAATCAAACAATATTTTTTATTATGTAAATGGTTTTACATACGTCATTTAGACAATACGAAATAAAAAAAATACAATGGATTACATAATACCTATTTACGCAATTAATACATAATACCATTTCTAAACCAGTAATTAGAGCCGTGACGAATAAGTCCGGATAATCTATATTCGGATAATCGAGATACTACTGTTGTCTAACTAATTACACAAGGATATGTAGCATGTAGTGCAAGGTAAAAGTACTGAATATTTTCACGTCGTATATACATTTAATTGAGTTAATAGCTTTCTGCATAGACTGAGGTTTCCGCGTAACCTTCACTTCAAGAATTTAATATTGTCTATTTGTTTGTACGCATATTTTGTAACTGCGTAATAGGTAGTTATATAAGTGTTCGATGTTATTGATGGACTCGCTACTAAGGTTCTATTCTAACTATACTACTTGTAGGCCTTTATGTTTGCTTTACCTTCGGAAATTATGTCATACTTTAATATATCTCATGATTTTTTATTTTGTTTTATGATTCCACTATGATTGATCTAAGATTCTGTTCTTGTTTCTTAAATATATCTTGGAATAGGTAAAAACATTGTAAACTTATCATAATCCTAACCTTCATAACGATAGTTTGTACACGATTTAAAAAAAAAAGGTAATTTAAATATTATATGAATTTGAATTCAGATTCATAGTGTTCTAGATAAACACGAATTACATGTATTAACGTAATGGTTGTAGGTCACATCTGATTGAAATGAAGTCATATGTTTTGTAGTTACGACTATGTCTCGAGGCCGCGCCGTACAGGCGCAGCCATAGTACGTACCTTCCGCACTAAACATTTATATCCATTAAGCATTACCGGCCACAATCATTAAATCAAATTGCTCCTCTTAATTTAACATTAACGGTTCAGCCTCCAAGCTTTTACCCGTCATATTAGCAATTTACATTGCAACAGCATTTTCCCTTATTAGATTGATTGCTCTGTGCACACGTAGTATTTTCACTACGCGTTAACAAGATTTTATTATCATAACCAGTGTCATCTTATGTATCTTAAACAAATACGACAATTTGTTCAATAATTTTGTAATATTTGTTTATGTTATTAATAATAATACTATTGATAATAATTTTAACTTTCACCTGTCGATTACAATTCATTTGGAATAAAGTTACAACTGGTCCTACAGATGAGAATTATCCAATAAAATAAGACTACTGTAGACGGCTAGTCACGAATCCTTCTACAAACTATCACGATTCTGTTTAAGGCACAATAGTTGCGTCGTTATTCTATTAAGGTTATCCCAGGGTGAAAGTATCTCTTCTGATTGGCTATTGTGGTTACCTACGCAGGATGAGCGTTCTGGATCATGACTTCACTCTGCCCATTCAATCGTCTTGACACATTGATTGTCATGCGATCGAAACGGACTCACGATCATTTGTGATACAATTCTCTATTTACTTTGTGATTTGTTAAAGATAGAAACGTAGTTGCATAATTACATAAACGTATCATTAATTAATGTCAGATTCTATAGTAAGCACTTTTGTTTAGTAAGCATTAGTCATTTATTAACCATTATGCTTCATATTGTTCACATAACCATTATCATAATGTAACGAAAGTGAAAATGATTGACAAAAAAATGTAACGTGATTACGAGATAGATGATGGCTTTTGTTTTAGGAATCGATTGTTGCTTTTACTCCCTGTGAAAGGCAAATGGTTTCTCTATCCTGTATAATGATACTCTATCACGTAATATCGTGACGGTGTCGTTTCATTTTGTTTATGATATTTAAATGTCACGATACTGCCTGACCTTGTACAATAAAGTGTAATATTTTACTGTATCCTTTCAGTAGATTAGGCTGTGCTCATGAGATTGAATGATTTCAGTGCAAATAGGTACTCTGTGATACCCGTAAGCCATTACAGCTCTTGCATGTAATATATTCAATTTTTTCTAGTGTATGTGTCTGTAAGACTGACTTCTGTTATTAATGTGTTATAAGGTTAATTGCTTTTTATTCTCCCGACATAGGTCGAGTTACATCAATAAGGTGTCGATTTACTCCTCTGGGTGTAGTATGACCTTACACTTGATTAGCAATTGTACCTACTCATTGCGCATTACGTGAGATTCATCGAACCGAAACTATGCACTTCTTTTTACAAGATAATATTTATGTATTGTTAATTTATTTATCTTATCGTAGACTGTTTATCTATAAATATAACCTAATAAATTCCGTGTTGTTAATTTTTATTTCCGTTTCAAATCTAAAAATAAAGTCCATCTTTAGTTAAAATAAAGTGATTATTAGTGTAATCGTTTCTATAATTTTTTAGTTCTTTTGGTATGTTATATTACCTTGTCATCGGTGTTAGTGGTCTAATACAAAAACAAATTAAATATTTTTGGGGTTAAAATGTCATCTCATTAGCTGGTATTGGATTGGATTAGTTAGATTTTAAGTGTTTATAAGAGAGATATGCAATGACATACGAATAACAAAGTTCAAAGTTATAATATTGAAATTAAAAACAAGTTTTTGTTTATTCTGTTGTCAGCTTGCCTGTGACATTTACATATGTGGATTTAAATTGACGCCATGACGGCATATACTTTGCATGTCAATATTAGCCCTAAATTAGTATCAACGAAATCTAATTGTCTGCTGCTAACTTTTTGAGAAAACTGCACTAGATATTGCATTTTCTAAAGGTATTTTAGTGTGGGAGGAGCTTGCTGCAATAATAAGTTTTTCTAATGTCAAAAGCAAATAGTTTTATTAGTTTTTATATAAAGATTATTTTGAGATACTTGCGGCATCTACACATATATTACATATGATTGTGCCATTATAACTTTAAATTGTAGACAGCTTATAAGTAGGTATATTGAAATAGTTGTTTATTGTTTAAATGCTAGTTAAATCGAGATGATTTTTCATCATTTCATGATAATCAGTTTAGCCTTATCAAGATAATTAAGTTATGGTTCGTTTTTCGATACTTGACACAAAATGCGAATTCACTGTTCGAATATTACAAAATTTAAATCATGGACAGTCAATCACTAAACCATTGATCAATTAATTTTAAATATGTTCCGATAAATTGCTTATTTAATTTAATAGCCATAATAAATATTATCTAAAGCTATTTATCTACGTATGTACCTACCACTATTTATAGTTCAGACACTTAAAAGTCCATCGTGAAAGTTTATTGTAAGTACTTACGTGCATTTTATGTTTATTGAAAGTTTAATTGTCTATAAATGTCGTATAAGACAAGAAAACTTTAATCGAATGAAATTGATCAATTAGGTACTAATCGGTATATGGGTATCATAAATACATAAATAAAAAAATAAATTTTTTACCACTTTAAATTTTGTTTTCAAAGTAATTATGGCTGATTTCCTCTATTATCATATTGTTCGTAGGTGAGGAATGCAAATGGTTATGTGTAGTTATGCTCACGTTATGTGTAGAAATCAAAATATGAAAATCACCATATTTGAATAGGGACATCAAATCGGATAACTTTGTATAGTGTGATGATTGTAGACTATATTAAAATTTTCAACAAAATTTAATTTCTTACATAATATACAAATAAAAATGTAACGGAATATTTTTGTTCGTACAAATCACAAAAAAAAAGGTGGAATAAAGCACAATGCACCAGTGTAAAAGAATGACATTTTAAAAAAAAATCCTATACTAAGTGTAGTACGTGTAGGCTAGTATAACGAGAGAGACCGGTGGCCAGTAGCGGGAAATTATATGTTATAAATAAGTAAAGGATACTTATAATCTTTTTTTCTCAGGTGAATCAGTCGTCTCCGATCGGGCGGAAAGCGAAGCGCGCATAGTGAACGACCAGCGGTGCATAGAGGTGCGAATCGCTCGAGCCGCCGGCGGTCTAGGGCTGAGCATCGCCGGCGGTCGGGGCTCCACACCCTACATCGGGAACGATGACGGCATATTCATATCGCGGGTCACCCCTAACGGGCCTGCGTATCTAGCCGGACTCAGGGTGAGCGCTTTATTGTCCACAGAAGATTTATAGCTCCGCAGCAAATTATTTGTTAAATTAACCTTCGTGACTATTAGCCATACTGCGGAAATGTTTCAAGTTTACCCAAATTAAGATGTTTTGAGTATTTACAATCGAGGTTAGTTGATTTTGTTGATTGTATTTTAATAAACCTTATCATGTTTCTGTTTAACAATGTTTACTATAAATAAATCGTCGGTGGTTTCATCATTTGATGGTAAATAACATTAAAATACAATTCTACTGTTATGCAGGTTGGCGATAAGGTGCTTTCAGTAAACGGTACGTCGGTCGTGGAGGTAGATCATTATTATGCAGTAGAAGTACTTAAGGCCAGTGGTCCAGTTTTAACTCTTGTCGTCACAAGAGACTCGCCAAATTCAACAAGGTAATATTTTGTATTATATTGCTTAACTTAATATGAAAAACTCATTACTTGTAATTTTAAAACCAGCAATAAACACTTATTATAAAGAGCAATGAATTCTGCTACCTTTTTGCTTGGTCATCGTTGTCGAGTGCATTGAGTCATGTTAATCATAAAGAAGTCACTGAACTAAGTAAATAACTCATTTTGTTTTTTTTTTCTTATAATCGTGAAATGCATGTTTTGTAATCCTTATGTACATACTTTAGGACACACAGCCGGGCGCCAAGTGGAGCGAGCCACCATTCTGTGTCGAGCACTACTGATACAGTATCAACCCTAGAAAATGGACAGGTTTGTGCTTAAATTACATTAAATTCTTAAAATATGATTTTGTTTATTCAACTTATCAAGAAATAAAATGTTCATACACTATTCATATTTTATTTAACGTAATATGTCACGGTAACCAAAAATGTAGGAAGCCTTTCATTCTGAAAAAAAAAAAACTGCTACTGCTACTTATAAGGAAATGACTCCTTGTTTTGAAAAGATCCACGCTACCTTTGTTGTATTTAAAGCCCTCTAATGTGGGAAGCTATATTTAGATAAAATATATATGCTTACTTACAATTATAATCCTTGGCACTGTTGTCAAAGGTTTTAGTCGACCATTACCGTTATGGTGAATGTAACACTCGACATGCTCACATTGCGCCGAGTATATTAAAATATAACTTGAAAAAAGGCAATCCTACCATTTGTAATATAGTTTTAATACATAAAAACAGAAATTTACTTTAATAATATAAATAAAAAAGAATTCTAGTTATTGCATAAACAATTGCTGTAAATACAATCGTAGATACCAACCGGTCGAGGCGTCATGTCCAAACCCCTCATCATCGGCAACCAATACGCCCAAGAATTAGAACCAGAGCAAAAGGAACAAAAGCTGAGTGTCCAAACTCCGGCGACCACGCCGAGCGCGAGCTTCAGTCCGTCCCCGACCGGTGCGGTCACCACAGATACGTATCAGAGGCTGCAGGCTTCACCACCGCCGCTCACTACCCCATACGTGCCACCAGGTAAACACAAGTGAAATTAACTTTGATAGTCCTATTTTTCTGTATGTTTAAAAGAAACGCATATCTTATAGCATTGACCCTAAGAAGGCCATACGCTTATATAATGTAAATGAACAATAACACCGCGTTTTTGTTAAATAGATATTACAATTAAATGTTTCCAATGAAGTAAGTTCATACCGCAGACAATATGTTTTACACGACAGGTTACTTTTGTTGTAAAAATTGGGTGTAAGAAGGGATATTAGATTGAAACATTTGGGATGTGGCAGACGAGGGACTTTTTTCTTAGAGAATAAACTTATCTTTCGTATTCGCCGACAATTTTCTGAATTTTTTATGGGCTTATAAGCATTATGCAGTGCATGTTGAAACTGCACAAACATACTTTTTCGAAAAATGGTTGCTAAATTCATACTTGTTTTTTTTTTCTTTTTTAATAAAGACATTGTCAAAAGTTTAAATAGATAAACAAAATTAAGTCTTTTTGCTGCAAATAGAAATGACAAATAAACTGATAGCCCACTTGATGGAAAGTGGTAACTGTCGTCTATACACATAAACAACATCATAGAATACACTACGAGTATGACGCCTATGGTACCTACTCTTAATGTGTTACTATTCTTGAGAATTAAGGTGTTTTGCATATGTATTACGTATTACAGTATACCAACAAAAGGTGCTAGTACACACTACGCTTATTCGCGATGGCGCCGGACTCGGCTTCAGCATAGCAGGCGGGAAGGGCTCGCCGCCCTATCGAGAAGACAGCGATGCGATCTACATCTCGCGTATATCGCCCCAGGGTGCCGCTGCCAAGGACGGCAAGATGATGGTTGGCGATAAAGTTGTATCTGTCAGTACATTTCTAAATATATTTATATCTATATTTTGAATAAGAAATTTAATTCAACTATTATTTTTAATAATGTAAAACTGTAACTGTCAACACAGTTGTGTACAACAACAATGTACAAATACAAAATATGAGAAGATTTAAAATTAATTCATTCATGTTGGTTGCTCAAATAATTCTATATTTACACTTTAAGTATTTCTATGTATAGTATATAATGATATTGCATTATGAATATCTACAGTACCAATCTCAAGCCAGTTGGAGAACTTGAAATATTCAATTTATCAATTGTAATGTAACTGAACTTTCTGTTTATAGATCAACGGTGTAGATATGGAGAATGCACCTCACGAAGCGGCGGTATCTCTGCTCACCGGCCACGAGAGATTCGTGAGACTCGTCCTACAGCGGACGATCACTTCCGACCAAGGTACGTACTAACGGGATTACGACTGGTTGTGAATGTCTGACAATTATGAATAGCTTCTATTTATCTTCTTAATCTTATACTGGCAGCGAAACCCTGCTGGTATAAGATAAGAAGCCCGCTGAATTAAAAATAAAAATATGCTTTAATTTAGGATGTCTGTCTGTGTACTAAATTACATTCGAATCCATACAGTTGTTCTAATTCCAATTAAGATATTTTTGTTACTCTTGTTAAAAAAATACTTTAGAACATTGTTATGCTATAAGAGACGTCACAACAAAGGCTCGAGCCTTTATGCGTATAAAGATGTGGCTAATATCAAATCAAAAGCTAATCTCTGCTAATAATCAAAGCTAAGCTCCGAAAACTCTTGTTACCTTCTTAGCCGTCACGGAGCTATCTTATTGATCTGAGGATTATTTGTATAACATGTGATCCCACTCTTAAGCGTTCTGGGACTAATTGGGCGGCTCTTTTTATTTTCTATTCTCTCTATATTTTTGTAGTATCCTATGCCCTTAAAATAGATGACGTTTATTTAATTTATAATATTATAATATTTTTGTCTTCATAGGCGAGTTACTCCCTCGGAAGTCAACGTCAGATGAAGTGAGAGACCACAAGACGAGTTTGCAGAATTTGAACATCACTCCTACACCTAAGCCCACCAATCACATTACCGCACCTCTTGTCGGCAACCACACCGCACATGTGGCGCCAGCATCGCACCCGACACACGCGACACACACAGCACCACGCGTGTCACCGCATATTGTGTCGTCCAACACACTGCCGCAAGCACAGAAGCAAGCTACGTACGCGCCCACAAACACTCTGCCGCCGCAGCCTGCACCGCGAAGATTAAGTCAGCCGAATGGGCAGGTGAGGCTCGGCGAACAATGCCCATTAAAAATATAACAGTTCATATCTACTGTGTATGTGTACATCAAGGACTGTTTACACTTTGTCAAGTGAAGTGCAAATGAGAAGTAATGTCATTTTTATTTTATCAAGTGCTAAGTGTTAAGAAAGCAGTTTGAAATAAATGTTGAGTATTTTTTTTTTTATTGAACTTGGAGTAATAAAAAAGCTGATGGGCCTACCTAATAAAGTGTTAATTATTGCTCTAGGCAACGGTTAACGCTTCATTAGGATAGAACATAAATAGTATCATAAGCATTACAGTATATACTGTAATGGCCATTGTACCCCTTTATGTATTGCACGTTTCTGCTACTTAACAGTGTTAATAGACCTCGCTTCTATTCAGTTTTACTTCACACTCGCACTTATCATTTAAGAATGTGATCACTGATTTTACTTGTCAATTATCATTTGCACTTCACACATGCACTTATCACTTAACAAAGTGCCAACAGACTATTGTTAAGTGTAATTGACGAAGATTCTTGTAGAATTATTAAAATCAGTGAAGTAGAAATAATAATTAGAGAAAAAAAACAGTAGCTTCTTACGCTTATTAGCAATGCACACGCTACGGATAGCCAATTAAAAATATTAATCATTCAACGCAGGCGCCCAAGTCAACGACTAACAGTACGAGCACGCCCCTAACACCTGGCGGCAATAACACGCACGGATCGAGCGACGATGTATTCGACGATATACAGGTAAGATCAACCCTAGCACGTAATTAATGCCCCCGGTCGTTTCACAGGTGATGGTATCGGTTTAACACGTTCACATCCGTGCTTCACGTTTCGCTTTACACCATGTCGTCGCCTATGTCTTCACTTGTCGCCTGGAAATGCCATTCGCTCACAAATAGTCGTGGGAGATATCGCACCTCTCGTATCTCGAAGTACAGAGCTCATACTTCGTGTTTACAAGGTGCTTTATCGATCTCTACTATCGAACAGCGGATATATTTTCTACATTTTTCTCTGCAATTAACTACATTTTACTTTTTCAGCAACCCTAAGTCGAGTCCAGCTACTTTCATTATTCTGAGAGTACACTACCTACTATCTTGCGAGTCCCAGATTATTATATTACTATAATACAATATACAAAAAACTTTTTTTTATATTTTTGAACAAAATGTGGTATCTATAAAAATATTTTGCATTTTAAAATGCATTTTTTACAATCTCCCTTATAATGTTGGTCTGTATTTGGTAGCTACTCTCAGGTAAATCTCAAGCCAGATTTATTTTTACTTATATTGTCATTCTGCTGATATATATCGCAAATTATATCATTTATTTTTGTAATATTTACAAGTATTATTATTTTTATTGCAATCTCAAAGTGTTAACAATACAACACTATTTACCGTCATCATTAAATCATTATTACTATTATTATATTTATTTCAAATGATTTTGTAAATTCTAAAATCATAATATAATCGCTTTAATCTATTCTTTATTATATTTTTTTATTTACTGATTTTTTTTTTATATAAAATATATTTATATTTTGTGTTAAATAAATTGGTAGTTGCAACTACATTACTTAGTTTTTATGGCATAGACGATTTAAACTATTATTTCCATCAATGAATTAATTGTATCAATCGGAAAAAATACTTTACCACGCCATTCTAAGCCAATTAAGGTATTTTATTAAGGTTTTAAAACCAAGAGTTTGTCTTACATACGTATTTTTTTTTAAATCGTCAATATCAAATTAGGTAGAAATAAATATTTACCATATTAGATTATTTAAAGTATAATACTTTATACCAGACTTAGTACTGCATAGTGCGTAGTTTTTAACCCGCCTGTTCTGTAACAGTAGAAGAGTTTTTAGGCTATGTTGAAAGTATAAAGTAGCAAATCCACGTAAAACTATGAGTGGCCACAATGAACAAACGCTTGTACGCTGCGTTTGCTATTGTTACATATCAGTAGTTAGCATGGGCTAGCTTTTGATATTTTATTACGTATATTATTTGATTACATCACAATCGCTTTTTAGAACTTATTTAAATAATTTTTTTTTTATTCCCTCAATCAAATCTCTGGAATTTATTTCCGACGATTTATATAAATGGATGAATCTTAATATGTATGTAACAATAAATACTTGTAGTATTTTGTTTTCTCTATCTCCTAAGGGATGTGACGTAAAAATAGATAAGGGGAGTTTTCAGTCGAGATCATATATCATTAAATTGTAATTATATACACAAAGATCATTCGCATGTAATTGGTAGTACAGTTACCTCTTATTCACACGACCGTTATTTTATCGTGAGTATACCTACGTGCGCGATTAGAGATAAGCCGATGTTATTATTACACTTTCTTGAATTATAGATCTTATGATTGCGTATCCTATGACTAGCTGTGTCTGCAAAAATTAGAGGAAGTTAAATTTAAATGTTTGTATAAAAGTGGTTTGGTGTAGTTCTTTACCGAAACCGTGATCAAACACGAAATGAACATATATTATTAATGGTATTTATTATATGATGAAACATTTAATGCACTGCAAAAATGCTCGTTTACAGATATCGTTTAATTTTCTTTAAAATTCTCCAGTATTTATGGGAAGCGCTTACTGAAGTTCTATCTTCCTCTCTAAAACATCTTGTAGACACGAGTTATAGCATTAATAATAAAGAAGCACAGCATTTTGCACACGTGTGATAAGAAGATAAACCAGAATATTTAGGAACAGTTAGAAATTATAAACACAGTAGGTCCAATATACCATTAATGAACTAACAGATAGAAGTAAACATTTCACCCCTTTTAATACTATGCTCTATACCCAGTCCTCACAAGAAGTCATCGTAAGATTTAGAAATAATTTCTATTTTTTACACGATGGTAACATAGCGACAATGACTTATACAAGATTGTCGTAATGACTTATTGCAAAGCAATCCCACTCACCCCGCTACAAGGGGCAAAATAGTGCCACTCATCCCGCTAAAAGGGTATACGCCAACGCGGTCGATAATTAGTCATTTGCAGTTTAGGTGCCGAACAATTAACACTAAGCTCGGAGTAGCAATTAAAAAATTTGAAGATGCGTCGTTTAGAGCTGAAATACGTGTTGCAAAACGTGCGTGGACGAAATGGAATATGGAGATTATAGGCTAATATGGAAGGTTATAGAAGTACTGATAGTAAAGTTGATGTTGTAATAGTAGTTAGTAGTCATACATATACTTACGGTAGCGGAATTAAACATAATAATTGTAATCAAATAGCCAGTGATATGGACTTTCGTAAGATAATATATAATTTAGTAAAATATCTCTTTTTAATCATAGGGTCCACACTTTAAAATAACGAATGTAAAATGAAATAATAAAAAAGGTATAGTCTAACCAGAAAGAACCTAAGTTGCTCACGACTGTATCGCTACTTCGGAGTAGAAATGACTTAATAATGTATTTTAGAATTTAACCCTCTAGTGATATGATATTTAAAATTTTAAAATAGTTAATACTTTTAAAGTTCTTTTGCTCATTTTTTGCATTAAAAAATGTCAATTATGACTATAATGTCAATCATGTGGGCTATAACACAATCATAATATATTTTTGTTCATAAAAGCAAGTAAAATTAAATATAGCGTAAAATTCTAATTATTTTGCATTTTTTTTTATAATTCCTAATATTCAGAAGCATTCGTCGACTATTGCCGTTGTAATGAACATAACGCTCGGCATGTTCACAATTTAAACATATTAAACTTGTACACCCATAGTAGCAAATATCAAAATAGACTTATGCAACAATCGTTTTGAAAGTCATTCGCGTTCAACAGAGACCTTCTAGTCACCATTTCCCAAATTTACCTAATAATAAAGTCAATCCTAATTTCTCATGGACTAACAGTTTATCATCACTTGACAGCTTCACATGTATCCTTTGTTATAATAATACTACTATCATCTAGATATAATCTAATAACTAGATAACATTGCGGAGTCTATGCGTGATTTTGGTACATATTTTACCACGTTTTCTTAATTTTTATTATGATTATGACCTAATTTTTAATATTAGATTCAAGATAGGGTTACTAATTTAATGGTGGAATCTTATTAATCAATTTACTTTTATAAAAAAAAGTAATACATAAAAACCCCTAATGGCGTGGTCAAAGGCATTTATTGACTGACAAATGACTGTCTCATTTTTTTTTCTTTATTACATACCAATATTATATGGATTACAATATTCAGAAGCGCAAAAAAAGAGCGAAGTAGGTACGAGTACTATCAGAATGATTATATTTTGTACTTTGCAACCTTATGTTGAGAATCACCTTTCTGATGAAATGTATCTGGACACGACTTACTCCTATTGCCTTCCTTTATGATAAGTTTCCATTGATACGATGTGAACGTGTTAAACGCGCAGCCATCGCGGCCGATCACGAACGAGGAGTTCCAAGCGATGATACCGGCGCATTTCCTGGGCGGGCCGCGCCCGGCCACCGAGCCGCCGGAAAGGGGCGTCCGCGTCACCGTGGAACGGCCGAGCGCCGCGGGCGTGGTACTACCACCGCCGCCGGCCACTCTAGGCCGTGTCACTGAAACGATCACCAAGTCCACCTTCACGGAGACCACTGTCACCAGGATCACGGATAACCAGCTCGTCGCGCCACTCATCATTGAAGTAAGAATTTGAGTTGATTTAAAGATTTACACTCGTCTTACGTAAAGCCATTAGATGGGTATTAATACTTTTGAATTCTGATATTGGAATGTTCGGTTATCTATTACATTACAGCATAGTTCGTGACAATTTCTACGGTCTTGGAAGTTATTTATTCTATTGTATCAAATTGTAATTTTTTTTCTATAACAAGATAATAAATTGACGAGTATAAATCTTTTTACCAATTATTTGGGTAGTTTTCGGGGAATTGTTAATGCAGCTTTGAGCTGTAATATCACAGAGCAAATAAATGGTAGTTGCTGCACTTTTACTGTTCATCAATATAAGTAGTGTATAAGAATATAAATGTAGATGTATACGTATATTGAGTGTAGCTAAAGGTTGGTCATATTTGAATATTTAACCAAATTTAAAAGAGTTTTTTTACATTATACTAACGAACTCTGAAACTAAATGCTTTATAATGTGAAGGCTTTACGTAAACAAGTAAAATTAAATGTTGAAGAATTAGACAGCACCGCATACTAAGAAGGAATTACTTGAGAATTGCTAATGACCAGCCTTTAGTGCAAATTGCACTATGAAGCCTTATTGTTTATTAACTGTAATATCACGCATCATATTTCTATATTGGGCGGTAAACCGTAATTTTGATCTTTGTAAGTGTGCGTTTTTATATCGCATATGTTATATAAGGAACATTTCCTTTGAGTGTAACTTCCCGGATAGCAAGAGCTACTGTCCGTCGAAGTTCGTTTCATTGGTAAATGTGTATTATATAATTATCTGAAAAACGCAGTGCTTATAGAGTAAAAATGGCGATGGTACAATATAGATACTGAATTTTAAGAGCTTCTTATAATTATTTGTGAAAATCTCTGTGAAATATTTGTATATAATTGTTAAATCTATTGTAAAAAATCAGTACATTTCTTCTGTTTTACTAATATTGCTCTAGTTAAAGTGTTGGGAGAAGAATACGTTCCATAAGTGGAATGCATTTTGAAATTATAAGAGAATAAAAATACTGTATTTGTAGTTATCGCTGTGTAGTCCCGGCATAGAATGGGCCACCCCTTTCTTTCCCGGGGGTGTCGTAAGAGGCAACTAAGGGAATTCAGTGGTCGAGGGATAGGCAACAGAGTCCCTCTTAAAACATCTCTAAAGCCTAACTGCGGATGCTTATAAGACATGTTGAAAAATAATATCCATATTTTAACCGATAACAGTGACAGTTTTAGTGTTATCGCTTTGGAACATTTGATTGTTCAGTAAAACAATAAATTTTACAAGACAAAATTGAACAAAAGACAGAATGGTAAAATACATGAAATGTACTGAAAATGAGACGTAATTAAGCGTAATACAGCGAGCTGTAGGTTAGTTTGCGAAGATTTTACTCTTTATTTCACCGTTGCTTTTCGCTTGAACGCTACTACTAGTATTATTATAGTTTTGTTTTTGGTTTATTACAATAAAATGATTGCTTTTATTATGTTGCTATTTCTCGTTGTTACAGGATGTGACGTTGGTGAAGGAGGGTGGTTCTCTCGGCTTTAGCATAATTGGCGGCACCGACCACTCGTGCGTGCCATTCGGTGGCAAAGAACCCGGCATATTCATATCACACGTAAGTTATATTTATTAATATACAAAGCAAAACTTTTGGATAATAATTTAATAATTAATTATTTTTTTGTTAATGTAAATGAACTGAAAAATGTGTTTACATTTAGAAAGGGAAAATGGTAGTTATCGGGATCCTATGAGTAAATCTTAAATTAGACATTCTAGATACTCTGTCTTGTTACAAACGCTTTGATAAAAACGATTTAATGAATAAGTGGCGCGCTTTTCGGAAAAAAGAAAAAGTTTATAATTTTTTCTACAGATAAATTGTACAAGAGATTGAAATCCGTTTACTATCATACGAGCTGTATGCTTGTGTGCTACCTTCGTGTTATAAAAAAAATTGATTATCTGAATTAAATAGTTAATCTGAAAGAAAAAAAAAACGCATCAGTCAAAACTCCAAAGTTAGTCAGCTGATAATTTTTTGACGTTTTTCGTACTCAATGCATTCTCTTTGGTTCATAATAAACATGTTACACAGGTCGTGCCAGGCGGGGTGGCCGCTCGTTCTGGTAAGCTTCGAATGGGCGATCGTCTTATCAAAGTGAACGGGACAGAGCTAACAGGAGCTACACACAGAGACGCTGTGCAATTATTGTTGCAGCCCGGAGCCACTCTCACACTCACCGTGCGACACGATCCATTGCCACAGGGATTCCAGGTTGGTGGAAAATCAAATACGCGACATGGGATTTGTTGATCTATTGACGTTGTCATAAAAATTGATTTAGAATAACGTATTTCCGATCATAAGCTAAGTTGAATATTTATGATCATAAATTCTAATAATTACTACGAAGTTTTTTTTTTAATTTATTAGTATTTTACTAACATTATTGGTTTTAAATTGATATATTTATAATTTTTCACCATCACATTTTTCTTTATAATGCATTATACAAAACAATTAGCGATTAACATTTAATTACCAATCTTGTGTCACTGACCGACATATTTTATCATTTTTATCGACTAATTATAAACTAAGTAATAATATGCATATTAGAATAATGTGCAGAAATGGATTGTTGTGATAAAATCAGTTTATATAATTATTATACGTACTTACACATACGAAAGCAGTGCAATGTTTTGCATGAATGCAAGTACGAGTTGTGGGTTATTATAATTGACACCAGTCGTGCGCCTAATGTGTCATGGAGTAGTGTGAGTTTATCGCTTGAAAGTAGACATTTGGCGGTACAAGATACCTGGATAATGCTTATGCACATAATATCCGGCTGCATTACTAAGGCAATTAGGCTGTGTGTGCTGCGAACTCTATCGCTTCCTGCAGTACGTACATCGTAACAACAAGAAACACTTCGATATAGACACTTTTATATTCAAAGAACTAGTATCACAGATATTGATTTTAATAGAAGTCGCAACTGTAATTGCGTGTAAATTTTTTGCCCTAAATAGGCTTTAACGAACTTACTTGAGTTCTAGCTAAATATCGATTCGGAGTTCTACATGAAAGGTATATTGGAAAATATTCAGAGAATCAACAAAAACATCATTACTGGCAGTGTTTTTAGCAACAACTTGTTTGAAATGTTCTCATACAAGAAAATGTAGAAATAATATGTCAGTAATAGTATACTTAATTTTCATATAAAATGAAACGCTTGCGTCGTCTACCTCTTTCTGTGTGTGTAGCTAGTACTGTTTATAAAACGCATAACGTTGTTTGTTTCACACGTGCGCTCGACGGCCACTGCGGCACATTCAGGGTCTCATTCAAGTTGAGATTGTTGACGCAACTGTAAGTGTGAACGACGCCCGCCGATCTCGAACTTCTGTGTGTTACTTTACCAATATATGTCAGAAACCCCATCCAGTCGATACGTGTGCTCAGCTATCGTCGAATCCTGAATGGTTATATCGTTGAAACGCTTTATTCTATCGTAGAGAGCGGCCCCTTTTAATATTTCAAACTACATCCGAAGTCCGAAATAGTTTATGCAGTAGCTTACACTTTATTACAGCTTTATTAGAACATTTTATACTGTAAACACTACAATACATCTACTGTCTTGTGCTAGGGTGGTTGTTTTAAATTAATGGAATGTGTATCTGTATATGTTCTATTATTGTTATATTTATATATGAAAGCTTATTACAGAATGCATGAGATGAGGCTTTGCATGTACTGTTGTCTAATGTGGAGTTAGTTGAGTATTGTAATAGTATATTTCGTTTCAAATAATAAGTTACTTATGTTTAGATTTTATATAGTAGTAAATTTTATCCAAGAATGAATGTCGTAATAAATAATTTTGGAGCAAATCACATTATAATTGTCTTATTTACATATGACGTGTTGTCTATTGTTTAACATACTATAATTATCTGACTAGGATCTAACCATCATAAAGCAAGAGGGCGAGAAATTGGGAATGCATATCAAAGGCGGTTTGAATGGTCAACGCGGAAACCCTAACGATCCAAACGACGAAGGAGTCTTCATATCGAAAATTAATAGCGGCGGTGCAGCTAGAAGGGATGGTAGACTTAAAGTAAGTTTTATTGTTTCAATTTACTGTTTTAATTATAAAAAACTAGCGGCCCGGTACGTGCTTTGCTACGTATAAAATGAAATAATAAAAAAATACATATTTTATACATTTGGACAATTCTGTCAACACTGAAAAAAGTTTCAATTTGACAGCACAATCCCCACCTTAAAAAAAGTTTGAATTTGACACAAAAATCCCCATTAACAAAATGATCTGCCATTTATTGAATTCATTTGTTACAAAAAATGTAATAAATGAAGAACCGCTCGACCGATTGTGTGCAAACTTCACATAAACCATCGACTAAATAGTCCGAATAAAGCCTAGTGATAGTGGTGAGTCCGTTCTTGAGTTATAAAATTACAACGAAAAGTGGCATTAAATATATATATATATATATATATATATATATATATATATATATATATATATATATATATATATATATATATATATATATATATATATATATATATATATAATTTGTCTAGAGGTTTGTTCAAGTTGTTAGCTGTGAACTGTATTAGTTTTAGGTTATTAATGCCACGTATTTGTACTTTTATAACAACACTTTCTATCTTCATATCAATTAATTTATTATTATCAATGTATTTGAAGAGAGATTTAGGAGGAGTTTAACCGAGTTTTAATGGCCACAGTCGCCAAATCTATTCCTTCTTAACATTCATTAAAACTAACGTTCTAATACAGGTCGGCATGCGTCTACTAGAAGTGAATGGCGTGTCCCTTTTAGGCGCGACGCACAATGAAGCCGTAAACGCGCTACGTTCCGCTACTAACGCGCCGCTGCATCTTGTCGTGTGTCATGGATACACGCGGCCGGAGAAATATACCGTAAGTTACACTTACATAATCTACGATTCACATCAAAAGGTTGTATACAAATAGTCATAAAAATTTGATGGTTTTTTTATGCGTTTAATTAAAAATAAATGTATTCAAATGTTGCCATTTGTATTCAAATTGTTGATGTTAACTGTATTTCTAATTACATAAATGCCATGTAAATGCGCTGACACTGACTTGTGGAGCTCTGCACTTGGGTGTAATTGCACCAAATAAAAAAAAAACCACGCAGTTATATCCATGAACAAATCTAGCTTTAATCTTAAGCACAAGTTTGTTTCCGAATTCCGGCACTGCTTAAATGTACTCACAAAAAACTTGTGCAAGTTCATTTTCGTAGTGTTAGATAGAGATAGACGTATGTTTGGACAGACCGGTAGCGAAAGCGGGACGGCAGACACTGGCGGCTCTCTGTCTCACTCAACGTCAAGCCTCGACCGAGATGAGCCCTTGCATCATCATCAGCAGGTATTTGTTGTCATTTTTTATGTTTTTAATTATTAATATTTTTCTTAAATTTTTACCATTACAGTCACATGCATATTTTTTATAAATTGTTTTTCTTTTCTAATCATGGCAATGTAAATTGAAAATAAATCATTAAATCATCACGTATATTTATAAATTACAGGAGCAACATTTCCAACAGGATCTAGTTGAGTTTGAACATGAGAAACAAGTCGCAGAAATGAGAGAAAAGTCTACGCCAGAAAAGGTAAAAATTTTTGTTTCTTAGTTTGTCAACAAGTGTTGTAACTGTATTAGACAGTTATAAGTTATTTAAATTTGTGTTATGAATGTGAACTCGACGAATTTATTTTGGTGCAAACAGAAGTAAGATTATTATGATAATTTTTGTTTGCATACTCACATATTACAACAAATTAGGTATAATGTTGATTTGGTGTTAAAACTACTCGATATGATGTAGGTGTTAGACATAGTCCATGCCGTTGAAAGCATGGCTATGGAACCCGTGCCGCCAACATCGCCCGAGCCCCAACACAAGACGACTACAGTCGTAATGTCAAAACACACACTCCAACCTCAGGTGAGTGATCGAAATATATCTTAATACAGCTAGAGATAACTACTGTATACTTGTATTAGAGGTTTCTTACACTATCATACACATAATAATTCATAAAATATCTTATACATTTTTAAACGATTCCCAATTTGTATTTTTTATATGCCACGCTATTATATTGCCAATTTTAAATATATTTTGATAATTATTTTTCGAAACGACGGAATTAGGATCAAAATGATCCCATCTCAATTTTATGAGCATTTATTTGCCGAGCAAAAAAGGCTTATTGCAAAGCAAAAACTACTTACAGATACACAATTCCACATTCTAAATTCAAATATTTCAATCTAATATGCCTACGAAGTATATTTTTTGCGGAGCTGAATATACTTACTTGTCATAAGTAAGTACAGGTGATAATGAAAAATAGTTTATGATTCTTAAACTACAAAGTATTTGATAATTTTTAAAATACGCCAATGATATGTTAATACAAATATAATTCAATATATATGATAGTGTAATAAGCCTCTTAGGCCTATAACTATGAAATTACTGTTTGTATTGAGATTGATTTTGGTTCGCGTTAACAATTCAATTTTAATATTCAAAGTAAAATAAACATTATCATGACTATAATCCCTAATAGAGTAGTGAAAACAGTGGTAGTTGATTTTACGAAATATGACTACGTTGGTAAAAAATGCGATTATTTTCTAAAAGACTGTAATTTCATAGAAAAAAAGGTCTTAATATAATACTTTCGAATTAACCTGTCTTTAAAACTATATAGACAAGCCAGAATATAGTATCAGTTTGGTAGTAAAGTCTAAAGTATTATAGTACTAAAGCAATAACTTGCCATGGTGTAGTGTACAGAACCTTGATACAAGTTTTATTTGAAGTTGCTAGTTATAAAGTTATTGTAGAAAAAGGGATTCATTCTCGTTACAAAATTTAGAATGTTGTGAATTTTTGATAACTTCACATCTGTGTACTACACTCATAAGTAAATCGTAGAATGAAACGTAAGAATGGTTAATATATTTCTGGAAATATGCATGTAAATTATAAATTATTACATTAAGTCTTCTTTTAACCAAAAATATTTTTCTCTTACTGAAGTTATTTATAATAAGCTTATACCTATTTAATTAATAAAAAGTAAAATTTTTCAGCATGGAAAGTAAAATATAGCTTTGTATTATAAATTATAACTACCTATTTAACATAATATTTGTAAAGACCATAAAAATGTTGCCATGTATTTTTTGCACGATTGGCAATCCCTTGAGTAATTGATGGCATGCACTTTGTATATTTTGTAGTATAAAATATTTGCTTGCATGAAAATATACTTACTTATGTATTGAACTCTCTATGTATATTATAAGTATATTTTATAACTTATCTTCCAAAATAAATGTTTAGTATATTTACAGTATAACCTTTATTATATGTAGATGGTATGAATCAGAAGGATGGCACATTATTAGGAACCTATTACGTACACTTAAATAAAATTTCTCTTTAGGTTTGTACTTGTAAACCTCGTGATTGATTACCCAATGGGGAATAGGATATATTCTGCATGTACCCTGACTTTAAGTTCTCTATGTTGAAATGAACGAAGTTTATTGTAATAGTGGTTTTAAATGTATTTTGTCAGAAACATAGCGACACATATTTGTTTTGATATACTGTAGCTTAGATCAATGTCGTCATGTGTTAGCTTATGTACCGACTTTCTCTGCATAGAAGACAACCAAATATTATCCCGACTTTAAAAGTTATATTTACAAAAAATATTACGTCCGTTGCAGAGTGCTAACCCAGAGGAAAAGGAGGGAAACACATAGCCCATCATGTATGACATCTGTCCAAAGTGTAATTGTAAAAAATAGTTAATGTTTATATTATGTTAGGTTAGTGTTTTATGTCCATATAATGTTAACACTCACAAATATGTGATAATTATATTGCTCCAATTTAAAATATTTGTACATACTTTAAACAAGGTGAAGCGTTGGAGTGTATTGTTTTTTTTTTTTATTAAATCGGTTATTTTTTACATTACAGTCTATTCGTGTAATCAATTTCAAAATATTTTATTCATGCGAAAAAAAAACATAATTGTATAACATTTTGTTAAGGAATTAAATTGCGTTGGTTCGACAACTAAATGTAATAATAATAAATAAAAATGTCAGGATTAAATTTTCTATACACCTTTTTAGGACTTCATTCAAAAATAATTTTTAAGACTACTAATTAGTTTTAAATGAATTTGTAATTGTAAAATTATTTTATTTTTATTAATTACAATAGATTAATTTTTTGTGCAAGCATGATATTTTTTGTTATAAATTATTTTAAACAACCATGAGTTCATTCATCACGGAAAAGTAATAAAGCTAATTATAAAATATACCAAACTTAATCTATTAAGATAATAGATTTTATCTCCCATACTCTTGCAGATTTATAATTGAATGATTTAACCATTCATGTAAACTGTCCGGTACATTTAGAGAGATGTTATTAAATAAGGAATTTGTAATGTGTGTTCTTGAATAAATGACTTCGTTCTTAAGTGATGTTTATACATTAGTTTGTGTGTAAGACAGTGACTGTTTTTAGAACATTGGAAGATATTTACAATGGTGAAAATAATCCGTGGAAACCTTTATGACTGCTAGAATGGCTCGTGGTTCAGTGGAAGTGATTTTGAGTGTATTTTAATATAAAATTTTATGTATATAAAAATGATCTTATACTTCATTTAGTAGAAAGAGGTGGGAATAATATTATAATATTTAAAATGATATTATCGATTTATGTTGTATCTAAGTGTTAGAATGCGCTCCAAAAGCAAAATTACACGTGGTTACAATAAATACATCTATGGCCATTTACGATCCTGTAACATCTATAAATGAATTAAATATTTATAGTTATTCTTAATTACTATACATACCTACATGTATTCAATATCACACCAATTTAAATAAACCTGCGATAATGCGCAAAAAGCTAGAAAAAATTGACTGAAACAATAATTCTCTATTGAATAGTCGTTATAAAATTATAAATGGTAGATATATCAAAATTATTTGGAGGGCACGTTTTAATATGTATATCTATTTCATACTATACGGAATATTCTATATATAAATATACTGGTAAGTCTGCTCTTTAAATTATTGCCTAAAACGTATATTTGTAATTTTTTATTTTTAAACTAATACGTTAAACATTTATATTAATGCAGGTTACTTATACTTTATTTTGATTGATATTATATTTGATATTATATTTATTATGATTGTCTAATGATAATTCTGTATACGTTTTAGGCATAGTTAATTGGCATAGACTATTAACCTAAGATGCTCCCATGAATATACTTTATTTTATTGTTCATATAAATTGACTGTTGTATAATTTAAAATGACCAATATGAATGTTTCTATTTAACGATGCCCCTAAGTAGAGTAATTAAAAATTCCATAAGCATTTAAAATTCTATTTTAAACTTTTGTCAATATCAGTATTTAGTCTTTGCTATACATGACCAATTTTTATACCGTTTAGCCAATTTTTTATCCTATCTTATATTAAAAATATTGCTTCGGTAATTACACACAGATTACCTATATATCTGGTTGACTTGGAGAGAATGCTTATTAGCATTAAATCCGCCTTTTGAACCATTAACTATAAATGGTCATTAAAGTTAAATAAATAAATTAAAACAAGATGCTACTCCTATTTAATATACCTGCAGACACATCGTGTTTTTATTTAGATTTCCTACATATCGATGGAATTCCTTTATCACTTTGAAACATATTTTAGGCAATGTATAAAAAAAAAATATTTTTTCTTATTAAAGCATAATTTTAAGCTCAATTTTTATCATTAAATTATACTTTAGATTTACGTAAGTTGTGATGTTTGGCCAAAACACTATTTTAACTGCCAATTATTTTACTATTTGATAATTATTGTGTGTAATCCATTATTACTTTTAAGATATATAATTATCTAATTACCGTTATGTTTTAGTGTTGCATTTAAATACATGATGTTTCAAAAAAAAAAGTTTATTTTCATTTTATGCTAGCATGTTTTTAATGACATTTATTTTGGAAGATTTGTGTTCCTTGCCAACTCCAGCTTTACAGTTATTTCTCGCCGGCCAATTTTCTATTAATTTGTTTAAGCTAAGCTATATTTTTGTGCAAGTGGCTTGCTTATTAAAGTGTGAGATAGACATAAATGATTTACTATTACATTCCTTAATACAGACAACTTATCTTACACTTATTTTCTTTTAGTTTGGCCAATAATATGTTAAAGTAATTAATTTTAAAGTACGAGTGGCCTAGTACAGTGTATTGGTTTGGTTAGTCGTCTAGTTCGCAAGTGGTGCCCCACTCGCCGCTCGCAGTGTTTACACAGCAGAAGACGAAGGCGCAGTCTCCCTCCACACCGACCACCCTTCACCGACCACCGTCCGCAACCGACGGTACATCTGTCGACCTGCCGCCAACGCCATCACCACCGCCACCACAAACGCAACGTCCTCTACAACCGCCGCCGCCTCCCCCCGTCAAACAGAAACCACAAGTGCCGCGAAAACCACAAATGAAGCGAGTTAGTTTCACTCGGGAACCAGAACACGAATCCGATCATTACGAACCGTTGTCGGCGAACGATACGATAGCGACCCCCCGACCCTTAATGCATGACGACGATGCGGACTCTAATAGTTACGAAACTAACGATGCATGTACGGGAATTAGCTCATTACTAATACGAAATCGACCACCGAAAGCCACGCTGGAGGTTTCGAGACCTGTCCATAAGGCAAGTTTAGTACTTCCCGAAGACTTTATCATACCTCCTCCGCCTTCGTTTGATACGAACGAAAATAATATTTCTGTTGAGAATGAGTTGTGTGTGCCGCCCATTGTTGTCGTTCCTGAGCGTATTGTGCTTCCCGAGCATGACGAAGCGGAAACATCCATGCAGTGTTCAAATTCAACCAATAACTCGCCCGACACTGAAGTACCACCTCCCATAAATTTTAACGCTTATCCGGCGTCTGTAACACAACCGCTCAATGTAGATGACCGGCCCCGGTCTGCCATAATATCAAATGTGCCTTCATGTCAAGTCTTTCGTAGTTCTGAATATCCATTTATTAGTAGTGATGAGTATTATAATGAATTATCAGTTAGTCCTATCGGAGAACCCGATCCGCCTGAATTGCTGCAAGTACAGTACAAAACTTTGCCTATAGTTTCACACATTCCTAACTCCCCTTGCAACGTTCATCCAGATCAAACGTATGATGGCTCTAAAAACAGTACACTTCATCAATCATTAAGAGATTTAAGAGTAAAAAATTTATCACCATATATGGTTCATTCCACCACATACCCTCCTCCGATCGACCCATATCCATCTTTGACAACGGTTGCGGGGACTTTCAATCCATATACCAATACTGTTCCAGTTTGTACGAATAAAAGTTATCCCATTCATAATAAACAAGAGCCCCCCTCTCCTCACAGCACGTTAGGGAAGGACATAAATGCAAATGTCACGCAAACAGCCCTGTTACATGCGGATGATAGGCCTAAAAGTGTTCACTCAGAGAGAAGAGTACATTTTGGCGAAGTGACGACTGCGCCTGATTCAGATAGATTGTCAGATTCGGAACTGGTGAGGCAAGAGAGTACCTCGCCCGCATCCACCCTGAAACCTGGATGGAGCAGCAAAATCAAAGCCTTCGCCATCGGCGAGGTAATCATTAATGTACGGCATCTTACCCTCACACACACACTCAGCTTCTTTTGATTGTGTTCGTCGACAACCCAACCAGAATATATGACTAAAATACACACATCAGTTTATCATCCTTCTATTTTCCTTTTCCATTTTTGTTACTTACCCAATTACGTTATTAACTTATAATTACATATATTTTGCATGATTAATTTACATTTGCATCATTTTTTTATTTTATATACATACTAATAATATCGCTGATAAATTAACAACTGTATATTGACTGCATGGTTGTTGACCCTGGAAAGAAGTTTCACTGCTTGTAAATATCATGAGCTTTTAACGTCATCGTGATTTAAACACTGTTTAATTAATAATTTAGAAAGATTTTAATATATTCCGATGTATTCTCAGGCTTCCCCACCTCATTCTGGTAATTTTGTGAAAGCATCTGTCAGCGACAAGAAGAAATTCTTCGAAAATGCAATGGAAGAAAGTCACAAACCGTCGCCAAAGCCAGGTATGTTAAAGAATTCCGTGATACTTTTACTCTACTAATTTTCACAGTTTTGCCATGACATTTCTCATACTCATAAGTCGCCACTCGAGAGAATTTGTTTTAAATTTCTACTGCTGGAGGATTTTTGTCTTACTCTTCAGACATAAACACAGTAGTGTATGCATTTGATGATGATGATGAAGACGGCGGTATTAATACAGTAATGGATCCAAGCTCGTCACAAATATTTCTTTTAGTGTAAAAAGGGTGATATCAAGTTTTACCGGATGAAGGGTAAGTGGTCGTGGCAAGCCAAGAACGCTTGCAATGCCAGAAGGATCACCCACGTGTTGTGGCTTGAAAATTTCCTGTTTATCCCATAATTTAATTGCCAAATCTTGTCCTGGCATGAATACCTTATTCGTATTATTTTTGTGTTATCCGCTGTTACGTGTTTATAAGCCAAATTTTATGATGATTAGGTTTTTAACCTAAGAGGTAACAAACAAACTCATATTCATATTTATGATAAAAGATTTCATTACAACATTTGCAGAGAGAGTTTTTACATTCCTATCGGCGGATGAGGTGGAGAAATTGAAGCAGGAAGAGGAACGGAAGATGGCATCTCTATCGCGTGCAGAAGTCGACTCGTGGTCCCCGGGGGAGGACCGCCAAAGCGAATACAGCTCGCATTCCGACGAAGAACCTTATGAGAATGGCCATAGGTATTAATTTGCAACATCATAGCTTTTAAATCCCACATTAGGGTTTGTAGTATAATAGATTGTCGTCAACTCTTACGAACGCTAGCGTGGAATTTGAAAGCTGCATTGACAGAACATTTTGCTCAATTGTATCATCAGGCGACGTTAAACAAAAAAGTTTATCTTCAAATGACAAGTAAAACAAGGGCCTATAGTGCTCTCCTATTTCGTCGAACATAATGGATTTACGGAAGGCCATACATTGCTTGGAAACTTTGGCAAGCAATTGTAATGTTAATGGATCTGAAGTTACGTTGATTCTTAGCCGTGTTAGAGGCCATCATGCTCTGACTAGGCTTACATGATGACGGCTTATCATGCATTCTGAATCAGTGCTTTTCAAGTGAGGGATAATAGGTCAAGATCGATGAAATTTCTGTTCTTATTTTAAATTGCATTATCATTTTGTATTGTAGTGTGTCATTGGGTGGCGTCAGTCCGTCAGCAAAGTCCCAGCGGCGGCGGGCTGGACGCGATGGTGCTGAAAGTGAAGACGCAGCTACGCGAGCCGCCCGTCGAGCAGCTTGGCGCGCCGCCCGACTTCGTTCGCTCGAACAGGTATACCAAGAGTTCAATTATTACTCTGTAGGCTAACTTTATTTCATGTAAAGAGTGATCGCTCGTCTTATTCAGTATCCCCCCTCATTAGATGAAGATATTTAACATCCCAGTTATAGAACGTAAATAGTATGTCATAGTTACACATACACATTTGGCGGGAAAATAGTAATGAAATACTGTAAATATTGTAGTAATTAAATTAGTGCCAATTATTAATTATAATTTAAGTGCTTAAGATTTATATATTTTTAACCGAGTTAAAAAAGGAATAAATTATATGTTTGAATGTATATTTTTTTATTCTAGGAAGCAATCGAGTCATCAAAGGCAATAAAAAACTTGGCGGGTCCTGTGAATGATGTCATTCCGCCGAGGGATAAATCTCCGTCCGAGGTAACTATTCTATAGAATTATATTAAATGTATTTGAATGTTATCCACTTAAAATTACTAAGCATCTTAGTTCGTAATTGGAAAAAGTGAACTAGATGGCTGTGATATTTTGTAATTTTTACAATATTTTATAAAATAAAATAATCACGCTAAGAAAAAAATACAATATATAATATTTTAATTAACATAATAACTAGTTCATTTTCGCTACCATAGATTGTGTTGTCATAATCCAATAATAAAATAAATACATGTTGTTTGTCTGTAACCGTTAACATCGAATGGTTATTAACATTAATGCATTTATAGTTGGTGTTTCATTACAATAAGGAAGCATCATAAAAAAAAAAAAACTGATTCCTTAATAATGTCTACACATAAAAGTTTTACTATACTATATTTCAAATACATTTTGTTTTAAAATTTGTAGGTGTAATATGCATACTTGTAATAATTGTTGTTATGACTAAAAGCTAACATGTGGTAACTGATGTGTTAAATGTGGGTGGGTATCAGTGTCGCTTGGTTGGCGCAATATGTTCGTTCATACTGGGTTGTGAATGTCAAATTGGCTTTACAAATTATAGAAATGGCCTCTACCACGTATCGCGTTACGTACAAAACCGGGGCCTATACTAGCGGTGAAGGAGAAAGAAAAGTTATTAGATGAGCGCATAACACTACGCACCGAGGAATATGTGTGCCCATCCACCGGCGAGACCAAAGTGCGGACGGTCGAATACATAGAGAAAGTGATTGAGAAAGAGGTACGCGTCGCTACGCACTGTAAATTGTGCTGCATAGTATATAAAAAGACGCTGTACACAAGCAATGCCGTATCGTGTGTGGTTGTTTATTATTTATATTTCTATATCTTACAATATGCTTAGCTTTTTACGTGCAATTTATACGGACTGTGGAGATTGTGACTTGACTGCTAAATACGACAGATAAAACATTGTCTTTACTGACAGCAGGAGGGTTATGTTTTTACGTGTATGTATGTATGTGCTAGTTCTTATTTCATATATAAACCGCTAGAGATGACTTTAAATATGTTAACATCTAAGTAAAATGCATTTTATCGACATTTTGGTCTTGATCCTACAATATGAATGCTTTGTTATAAAAAAGGCTCTAAAAGGGTTTGAATATATTATTTAAATATGTTTTACTAGACGAATACCTGAATGATTATAGTTCTTTACGTTATTTCACTCCGGAATCCTTTTTATCGTTTCGTGACTTTGTGACTTTTGTTTAATATAGGCGACTGTTATGTGACTATCGACTGACTAGTTTAACTATGTATAAAAACACTTGGTGTTAATATTATGGGCCTATCTAAATGCACATGAATTATTTAGCACATTCCAGTGAAACACCATCTGTTGAGGTAGATTAGAAGATTAGTTTAATCACGTAGAATACCTAATTTGATGTGGTGTTGCAATAATATAATTTTCCTCGATAAGAAATATCAAAGATGTAAATACATAGTATATATTATCACTATATTCTTGATATATTTGATGTTTTATCTGTTGCATGATACTGTGGCATGGCATGCTAATATAAATATTATATATTATTTTGTCAGACGATACCGGGATTCTAGAGATGAGAAACCACATCTACAGTTAACGGTTTGTTGTGTTATTATATTTATTATTTTATACTGTTGCTTTGATTGTGCACAGTTAACTCACTAATAGCTTGCTTGCTTTTTCTTACTACATAAAGGGATATTTGGTGTTACTTTGTACATTTTTTGTTTGAAATTTTTTGGTGGATCGAGTATAAAAATTGAAATGTATAGTATATTATTATTCTGTGTATACTTTAGAGCAAGTGTTTTAAGCTCTAAATGTAGAGTAAGATTAAGCGTATCTTCTTTCTTATACTATTTTGTTTAGCGTAAAGTGGTATGTTTTAAAGCCTTTCTAAAAACTTTCTTTCTTTTCTAAATTTTTTTTCGCTGTTAAATTCCAACTCTTGTTTTGTTCTCGGTATAATTTTAGTCTAACTCTGTCTTTAGGTATATGTCTCAAAGCATTTACCATTTGTGTATTAGGTGAACTAAAAGGTACAATAGCTATCTGGCAGCAAACACAAACCACCTAAATGAACCGGTCAAAATGAAGTATTTTGGAGTAACATTACAATAAGGCTAATCTATTTCATGGTGTTTAGCGATAAATGTTGTTTAATCCTACTAATATTATAAATGTGATAGTCTGTAAAGATGTTTGTATGTTTGTTACTCAATTATGCTTAAACGGCTGATTGAATTTGATTGAAATTTGGTACACGAGGATGTTACGTATGTGCTAGAACACATAGGATACTTAATCCACTGCTTCACGGGGGTGGTAAGGCCGCGGGATAAAAATAATAAATAAATACTTCAAAAGATTTAAATAAATGTTTGCATTATAATATAACAGTTAATTAGTTACTAATACTTTTTTTTACGTTCTTTGACAATAATATCATTGATATATATATAATAGCACTAATTATATTGAACAAATGAAGATTCTAATTAAGAGACTATTGTTATTGCATGTACGAGGTTTGTCCGGAAAGTACGTATAAAAGTTTTTTAAAAATTTTATTTTACAATTATTCAGGTAAATCAATTTTATCCCCTTCAAAGTACTCCCCCTGTGACATAATGCACTTGTGCCAACGCCGTTTCCACTGTGAGAAGGCTCCTTGAAAGTCCTCTGGTTGTAGGTTTCTCAGCTGCCCCGTCGTAGCTTTTTTTATCTCATTTATGTCCCCCAAATGCCGCCCCCGAAGTACCAATTTGGTTTTTGGGAACAAGAAGAAGTCACACGGGGCCAAATCCGGCGACTCCATTGTGACGAATTTCACGAGAATTAACCAAGATGGTTTCAGGGGAATAGGGGGGGTGTTCGGTCGCCGTAATGGAATTTTTACTCAAAAACTCACGGACAACAAGAGAGGTGTGGGCAGGGGCATTGTCGTGGTGAAGAATCCAACGCCCCTCTCGCGCCAATTCTGGACGAACTCGTGCCACACGAGCTTTGAGGCGTCTGAGCACATCGACGTAGAATTTTCCATCAACTGTCTGGCCTGGAGGGACGAATTCTTGATGGACAATCCCCCGAACATCGAAAAAAACAATCAACATTGTCTTGACATTTGAGCGGGATTTTCTTGATTTTTTTGTTCGTGGTTCCCCGGATGTCTTATCGAATTAGATCGGCAAAAATTTCACGGCCATTCTTGCCGAGTTTCGAGAGAAACTTGATTACGACGCGCTGCTCTTCAACGGAAGCGGGCTCCATGCCGACGGGGTTTCGTTAAGAGGTAACTTCACAGATGGCGTGACAAGCCAGTTCGCCGCACGGCGGTCAGACCAGAACTGAAGCATTGTTAGGGACATAAGGAAGGGGTCCTGCGCTTACCTGGCCTCCCCACTCCTCTTTCTCGCATTCCAGAACACTTTTATACGAACTTTCCGGACAGACCTCGTACAATGAGATAATAGAAATAAATTTGCATCCGCCATGTGCGAATTTGACTTTTTAAGTTTAATTACTTCGCTTCTTGTTAATTAAATTCAGAAATGCGTTTATGACGTTTGAATAATTTGTTCATAATTTTATTGTTTCGCACTTTTTAAATATTTATCATTATACCAACTTCAATTAAGTTGTCATATTTTAGATATTTTTTGCAACTCGTCTTTTTCAATGGTCTTCTGTTATATTAATTATATTGTAATTTAATGCCTTATATTAATATTTAGTGCTAATATTTATACAGGTGGAAACAACGCAAGAGAAAATAATATCGTTGGAGCTCACTACGAGCCCAAGCAGTGAGACCGCACCCACTGACCTCGCGGAAACCGGTATCAGCCTAGGGGAGGGCGAGATCGAAGGGGGAGAGAACTCTCTCCAACCAGATATCGTGCAAGTGGTGAACCCTCTCTTGGACAATAGCGCAGGCCTTGTCACGGCCATACCCGTGGGACCAGCGCAAAAAGTAACCGCCTACACTGATCAGCCTCAGTAGAATCGACTACTACGTTTGTTCTTCCCGATACAAATCAATACGCTCTTACCCAAAAACCCATGACATTACACCAGCCAACACATCCCACGACTCGGCACCAGCCGAGAATCGAACTCGATTGTAGATTTCTTCAACGAAACGAATAGCTATATGACACTGTTTGAGTTTTCCATCTTATTTTTGTATTATAAACTGTGATAATAAGTTTAAATAACCACCACCGACTTCTTGTGTTAATGGGGCAATTTGAAGAAATCAACCAGCGAGAGTCAAAGGCATTTTAATTATTTCTGATCACAATTTTATTTTTTTATTTCATTTTGAAATGGAGATTTTTAGTTTTATGGGTAGATAATTATATTATGTATTTTGATATATAATTTAAATACTTTACGTATTTAATTTTAGCGATTTCATTCCGTGAAGGTTTTAATGTTTGACTGTTATGATGATGCTTGACCTGCTAATTGGAGTCGTTGAGGATTATGAATGATGACTAGATTGTAATAGAGTACTATTACAGTTTTTGATGGACTAGAGTATAATATATATTATAAATAAACGTCTTGTACATAACATCTAAAGCAGTAGAAATTATTGTTTCTATTGTACACGAAGTAAGTTGGCATCACAGAAAAGTTCCAATCAAACTTGTTTTATTCATGAGACATTTAGTTCAATATAATTTGTGTATTGCTATTAATTCTTGCAGTATTTATATTTACTGGTGAATAAGTATTTTAATGTAACATTTTATTATTACTTTTAATTTTATTTTATGTGGTGCCTTAGTATCTCAGCGGATTTTATGCAATGTTACGTATTGTGATTTTGTTCTGTCAATTATGTTTGCTATTTTTAATAACTATTTAATTAATTATAATGTTTGTAGCAATAGTAATTTACAATAGTGATCAATTTATGCATTTGCATCCACGGGGCCGTGTATTTGTACATCTAAAAATGATTGTATATCCTGATTACTGTCCTTAAAGTTTATGAAAATGTACATTTCCGCAGGTATCGTATGAACTGTATGTACTGTAATAATAGTATTCGATTTATATTTAATGGGCGTAATGAAATGAATAGGTACATTGATGTTTCGAATGAAAGAATGTTTTATATGTGTGTCCTTTATATACCTTTTTAAGGCTCTGTCGCAGTATGTGAATTGTAAACTAATGAAGATATTGTATGTTTGTCCCAATTAAATGGTTTAATATATATTTTAATAAAATTACGTTGTTGTTTCATTTTCGATTAATAATTTCAACATAAATAAAAGAACATAATTAAAATATGTAAATTTATTTGCATTTTTAATTTTACGAAAACAAAAAATAATCTTTTACATAATGAAATAATAAAGACAACAAATTATCTTAAAAATATGCACCAGTACTTGTACAAAAATTACTTCTTCGGAGCGATGATACCTTCGAGTTGTGCCTAAAATCAAAAATAACATTTATTAGAATGTATGTAAATCTAAAAATCCGACCACCCATAAACATTAAGAATATTGCACAAAATATTATTCGTGCTAAAACTATCCTTTAGACGTAGAGATCTTGAGTCAGTCTGTGGTCACAATACCTACTTAGTGATTTCATTGCCATTTTAAGCTTCAAAACGTCGCACCACAGCATATAATCAAGCTCCTTAGCGACATAAATAAGTAAGTACCTATTCAATCAGAAGAATGTAAAAAATATCCCATTGGATTTGTTAAAAATTTGCCAGCAAACTTGGTAGACGTATTTCATGACAAGAATATGAAATACGAAATTTCTTACCTTTAGTTGAGCATTAGTTTTCTTCAACGCAAGCAATTCCTCTTGGTGGCGTTTCTCTTCTGCTGCACGCAGTTCCGCCGCTCTTCTCTCCAGTTGTTCGGTTTTCTGTTTTAGTTCCATACATTGTTTCTCTAGGGCCGAGCGATCTGCTTCTAATTTAGCTACTTGGTCCATGAGGTCCGATTTGCCTTGCTCCGACTATAATGTTTATATATTTTTATTGTATATTTTTTTCAAATTCTTTGTAGGGTAGACTAAAGAAAACCTAGAAATCTAATCCTAATATTATCTCTTGCATTGGCTCGTGCATATGCCAACATTGGAGTACTCTGAAATCTTCCAGACACGCACAAATACATACGTATTTTAGACGAATCAAAGGCCCTGATACAGTGAAATTATAAATACATAGCTATCTCTATTTATTTATCAATTGTAATAGCTCAGTTTGTAAAAGTTTTCCCGTTTACGGTCAAGTTCAGTGATTTCAGAATCCAAATCGATCCCAATTCATGATCGAATATATACCTCTTTGAATAATAAAAAAAAAACATTATGGTTCCTGTTATGGATGGTAAAAGAGTTTAGAGACAGTAGATGTCGCCATGCTATTGCCATATGATGTCGCAATTAACTATTGACTCGTTTCTCCAACTACCATCTTTACAGAAATTTTATATATAGATACCTGCAAAGCTTTTCTCATTCCGAAAGCAATAGAACTGCAGTAAAGTGTTTGATATGCTTCCATAGTGATTCTGGCTTCATCCCGTACTCTAAGTAGCAGTAAACCTCTTTCTCCACAATTTATTGTTACCTTAAACAAATGTACCACGTGGGTTTGTTTCTTGTAGACTACTGAAATGTTCAAACCTAAAATTTAATTAATTTCAATTTCTTTTTTAGATCTCGTCTTCACAAAATTGACTAAAATGTTTGTGTGATTACGCATAAAATTAGCAGATGCCTATAAATAAGTCATGGTTGTGAAAATTTTCATGATTATAAAAAAGTAATGGTTGTGAAAATATTCTTTAAAAAAATTGAATCAATGTTGTAATTTGTCCGACCTGGTTCATAGCTAAGAAACCTATGCGTATTCATATAGGCATTTAATCAGACAGATGTTAATTGAAGTGAAAAGCATGCTACCAACCTGGCGTATTAGTTCATCAAAGCATTGCGTATAAAGTTGCCTGCGTACAGGACAAATCCCCGTCTCTCGGGCCTGACGCTGCTGTAGACGTGTGTCGAGCATCTCTTGTAAGTTTATTACATCTAGACGTGTAGCTGGTGTTGATGATATCTGTAAGTATTACATACCTTAGATTTAACATACTTCGCTGTATAGCCATTGATTGTAAGAGTAAAACACAGTAAGTTGCTGTTTCATTTTATTTCAAGCACTTTTTATAGTAATAACGTGTATTAATAGATTAATTTGCTACTTGTTTAGGCCGACTGAGGTAAAGCAGCAATACATACAGTGTAGTATGGTTTAAAGGGCAACGTAAGCAACTGGATTCCTCATAAAAGATACCTGTATCCGATACAAATCTACTCATCCTATGACTATTATGAATGTAAGCACTTAGTAGTTATACACATAGACGTGTTTTATATTTTACAGAATACAATCACGACATGCCTTTTGTGTCCATATTTGACCATCTTCTTCCCATTCTTTGGGAGGCAGAATGGCATTCAATATTTCTTCAGTTTCACGTTTCGCTTCTGTTGGCACGCATGGCTGTGCTGCCGCTCCTGTACGGGGCGATGTCTGTAATTTTGAAATTACTATGTATATTTGCAGAACGAAGAATGAGTTATAAAGAAGTTAATTGTGTATTAATGAATGATAACTTAAATATGTAAAGATAAAAGTCTCTGTAAAGAAAGTTGAAAAGTGCTATGAGCTGTGCAATAACGGTGATATCATCTGCGCCACTGATGGGGCGCCAGTGAGTAATAATGGTTTAGAACGAAGCAGGTCAATTGGCCTCGTCGCGAATTCAACAATAATTGCCCACTATGGTTTCCAGGGAGAACCGCATGGAGGACGACCTGATAAGGTGCTGCTAGTCCTTATTACTTGGGGGGAAGGGATTGTTAGTAATACGGATTACCAGTTCCATTGCTAATAATATACCATAACAGGTCGACCTCCCCGTGGTCTCTCCTGGAAACCATCGTGCTGAATTCCAAGTGTATTACCATCACGATGGGCTAACTGACTTGCCTTATCATTCTCACGTATCATCCCTCACTAGTGCTCCACCAGTGTATACCGTTAGCGCAGGCGGGGTTACCATTATCATACATTAAAAGAAAAAGAGTCCTCATTACTAACAATCACTTTCCCCCAGCTGATAAGGATTAGATTAGAAATTAATATACTACGTCATACGAAGGAAAACAATAGTTACAGTTAAACATGTAGTAAGGGCTTATGTATATCTATGTAATACAACTAGCAGATCAAGTCCTTTGCGAGGTATGCAGAGCATAATTAGGCACATCTCTTGCTTGTATTATTCCATTGAATAGTGCTATAAATACTTACAACTTTTTCAGGTTGTGTAGTGACTAAAACGGGATTATCGTAGCGAACTAAAGTATCTTCGGCTGATATGGGAGCTCTCTCCGTCATTTTTAGGTAATAACTATTATTAATAGTAATATACTTTGTTTAATAAAATTCGCCTGTTATATCTACTGATACCGTAATGAGATTAATCCAAAATATTACATAACCATGGAAACTATTTACTGTCGCATAGTAACCGTAATATCTCATAGAGTGCACGTATTATTCTTAATCTATGCATTCTGTGCATCCAGATTATTCCCTAAGCTCACATATTAGCATAAATCATATGAGGGGATCGAATGCTGTCTGATTTTAACCACTTACTAGAAGTGTTTATGATCACCTTCAGTCCGTTTTTAGAGGGAACTTCAGTATCTAGGCGTCTAATGTATCCAGATCTGTGGAATATTTGTTTATGGAATTATGAAAACTCAACTAAGAACATCAACTTCGATATAAATTTATTCATAGAAAGTACAACGTACTTACAAACTAAGAATTTATCAATACCGTAGCATAATTATCCTACTAATATTAATAATGTGAAAGTTTGTAAAGATGTTTGTTAATTAATCATGTTTAGGCAGCTAAACAGATTTGAATGAAATTTAGCACATAGGTAGGTTATATTCTAATTTGATACAGGATATTTAATACACTAATCGACACGGTCAAAGCTATGGTAAACAACTAGTTATAGGTACATAAATAACCTGGACTTCACATTCACCTAGGCAAACAGTGCCATTATTTCACTATAAATATTAATACAGAACAATAAATGAAAATAGTTTTTATTAAGTTATAGGTTCTTTATTTGATAGGTATTTTTATATAAGTAAATCAAGTTATAATTTCACTAAAGGTACAAAATACACAAGTGACAGTCTTTCTTAGCTTGTACAATATGTACAATATTATAATAATATATAATAGTCCATTAGAATTGCTGTTACACTTTTACCACAGTACATATCATGTTCATTGTGAATCACTACTGGAACTAGAACTAGAATCGGTGGACATGACTTCAACATCTTCCTGGGTATGTGCATCCTTTGACCGACTGTCAATAGCTACTGAATTACCCCCTCCTACAGACATATGAAGTTCGCCAGTCGGGTGCCATGTGAATTGATTGGTTGCTGAAGTGGGTACTGTAAACAATAAAATATTATCTTATTATTATAGCATAGCCATTTCCCCGAGTCTAGTACATTCTCAGTATAATTAGCTGTCAGCTTTAACTTTTTCATGAGTTGTGATCTCAAGAGTGTTGCAGGGATTTATGTATGTAGGTGGTTTTGATCCATATTTTGTGTCAAAATAAATTGAAGAAACCTGTTTTCAGCAGTGAACAATGGGGTTAAAGTGATAATGATGTAGCCTATATTACTCTCATATTTAAAACAAATATAATAACTGGATGATAACCTAATATGAATCTCTATCCAGACATATACATCTGAAATATATATTGACTCATTTCAATACAATATGTAACTTATACATTTTATCTAGTTATTATAAAATTTCCTCAGCCTTTATAAATTTAGGTATGAATAAATTATGAAAATAAAATTTCTTTGTTATTTCTGTTTCAAATTATTCATAAATGTAATAAATAAACAAGTCCATCTTTTGTACCATTTGGTTTGGTTAATAAAAAAATTTTAATTAAAAAATAATATAAATTTTATGCTTAATATGATTTAATATTAAAAGTACATATGCAATTATTAAATGCTATAAAAGCTCACATTGGAAGTAATGAGGGAAAACCCACTGATGATTAATAATTCAAAGCATTATCATGCTTTGCGCTCATGATCAAGGAACAAAGGAAATTAAATGGATACCAAGAACATGACTAATAACAAATGTAGCTTACCTCCACCAGTAGTGATTCGATGGAGATCATTCAGAGTGGATGGTGTGTGACCATTGAGTGGCAGATCACAGAGGCGACCAAGCATACCCAATCTCATCTCAAGGTCTGTGGGGTATGGACGCCTAGGATCACCAGGTTGCCAGGACAGTGGTGCGCTGACTGCATTTGATGCACTAATTCTGTGATTGTTATTACAATGTTGAGGTATGTATTAGGATTATACTGTTAATAATATATATATTTAATTCATTATAGGTAACTGTATAAATCTATAAGAATAAAATTCATTAAATAAAATACCTAGGTGTTACATAATATAATTCTGATTTATAAATTAATTATTACTAGTATGATTACAGATTTTAAAACAATGAACAACTAATTTTATCTAAAAAATATAACATATTGTTTAAAAAAAATAGTATAATGGATAAGATAATAGTGAGGTTTAATAATTGATATTTAAAACCAAAACAACATACCTATGTGCAAATTTTATCAGTTCTTCAGACGGAACAGGTCTTTTTCTGGATTTGACAATTGAAGCAAGTTTTTGTCTTGCTTGGTATAAAGATGTAGCTAAAATTTGTTCAGCATCCTTTAGTTGCCTCTGAAGATGATGGATATCTTGATCCTGATAGATAATTAAAATATTGTTATGTAAATACAATCATGTCATAACAGTAGCAAACTTAGGAAAAGTAGTTTGGTTTTTTAAAACAGTTCAGCACAATGTCTTTTAACATGTAACATTTGTTAAAAAATATGCAATATTATTATTAAGTACCTTATTATCTACTTCTGCTTTAAGCTCATTCATTTTTTGCTGTATTTTAGCTTGTTCTTCAGCTAATTCTAGTGTCTTTTTTAATTCCATGTCCTTTGAAAGAAGCAAGTCAGTCAATTGAGCAAAATCTGCCGCTGACAATTTTTGTGATTTTGGTGCAATAGATACCTCTATAATTTCTCTGAAATGAATAATTAAAGTCAGTAAAGCAAAAATGAACATTTAAATGTAGCTTGTTACATAGTAGATGTAAACTTACTTCGCTATTAATTCTATGTCATCTACAAGTGAAAGCAATCTGTCCTTTGTACTTAAATGCGAGGCCATAATGCCAACAGTTATCACTTAACTTTAATGAATTATTTTATGAATCACTTATATAGATTTTAATAATTAAAATAAAGTAAAACTATAAACATTAATTATTAGAAGTTAAAAACAAATTTGTTACATTCATTCACAGAGTAATGTCTTTCGGCTCACATTGACTGATTGACGTTGAGACCAAGATTGCCAGATGTGATTTTTTATTTTTACCCAAATATCATATATATTTTTTCTCCAAGTCGCTGCGATTTCATTTTCTTTTACACAATTTTAAATTTTTATCATTTTTCACTACGTTTTGCTGTTTTAAACACCAAACTAACTGCGGTTAGCAACCTACCTGCCAAGCGTGGCAACTACTAGCGAAATTCTTCAATAATGCCTATATTCAGCAGTGAATAGTTAATGACTGGTATATTGATGATATACAGTTTATAACTTAACTGCCAAAAGAAATTTATCGAAATTCTTCCAAGCCTATTTACTATTATCCAAGAATTTAATTTCTTTAAAATTTCGTGAACAGTATCAATTTTACCTAAAATTGCGAAAAAATTACATCATTTGGCAATGATAGTTGAGACATTGACATTTGTTTTAATGGATAACTGACTGATTGACATGCTCGCAACAATTGACGTTAACTTTTGAATTCACAGTGTATTTGGTATTATGTTACTTAAGACTAGGCAGTATGGTCATCGACCTTAGTCTGCTCCATAACGGAACAAACTAAAAAAAAATGATATTTTTTTTATTTTTGATGGGTGAAAATGGTATGATAACTCCGCCTACGCTAACGGGATACCTGGCGGAGCACCAGTGAAGGGTGATAGATGAGAATAAAAACAGGCCAGTTAGCCTATCATGATAAATTCATCAGGAATTAATAGGACGACCTCCACCACCACCACCACTCCTCTGGAATCAATATACCCAACCAGGGCGACCTCCTCGTGGTTCCCCCTGGAAACTATCATGGTTAATTCCTGATGAATTCATCATGATGGGCTAACTGGCCTGTTTTCATTCTCGTCGATCACCCTTCACTGGTGCTCCGTCAGCGTATCGCGTTAGCGGAGGTGGGGTAACCATTCCATTTTCACCCATAAAAAAAAAACTTCTCTGGAATCGTGGTGATTAATTTTTGGTCACGTGTGGTAACTGATTTGACTTGTTGCCCACCTATCATTCGTATTATGCTACCTAGCCTGTGTAATTTACCGAAAGTATAGGCGGGACTATCATTATTTCATTTCATTAAAAAAACTTGATTTGCATCTCCACTTATAATACCTTACTACCGGGGGGAAAGAGAATGTTAGTAATAGAGACAAAAAATCCCATTGCTAGCAATATACCTAACCAGGTCGACCTCCACGCGGTTCCCCCTGGAAACTATCATGATTAATTCCTGATGAATTCATCATGATAGGCTAACTGACCTGTTTTCATTCTCATCTATCATCCTTCACTGGTGCTCCGCTAGCGTATCCCGTTAGCGCAGGCAGAGTTACCAATCCATTTTCATCCAACAAAAAAAAAATATCTTACTACCGGGGGAAAGGGATTGTTAGTATTGAGGTCTAATAGCCTCATTGCTAGTAATATACCCCCTCAGGCCGACTTCCACGCGGTTTCCTCTGGAAACCGTCATGCCCCGCAGGTTTATACCGATAGCGCGGGCGATACCATTCCATTTTCACCTATTAAAAAAAATACCTTACTACCAGCGTGATAAGATGGCACAGTCAGGCAAAGCATTATACAATTTTTAGCCTTATTGTACTAAAAGATACCAGGCAATTAATAAGTGGGGATACAAGGTAATAAAATAATTATAACTAAAATGGTATTTCTTTTTCTAATTATTATAATTATTCTTTGATTCCTGAACTTTTAGTATCAATCCTACAGCTTTGATTGTGTGAGACAAAGATCTTAATTTTTTAATGTTACCTACCTATTTTTCTTTTAATGCAGATTCATAATTGGTCTCCAATTATTTATCGAAGAAGTTTGTTAGACATATCGATACACCGATTTTGATGATACTTCTAATGCAATTAATATTTGCCTATATTGTACCTAATTACTTCCGTATTTATTAATTTTGTCACGTTTGAAGAGTGTTTATTTTTTGTGGATCAAAGTCGTAATTTATTATTTTTTAATACGTGCTATATAATTCTTTGTGGGATGATAATGGAACAGTATCCCTACCTGCGCTATTGGTATGCGCTGGTAGAGCACCAGTGAAGGAGGATAGGTAAGAATGAAAGCAGGTCAGTTAGCTCATCGTAATAAATTCCACAAGAATTAGCCACGATGATTTCCAGAAGGAACCGCGTGGAGGTCGACCTGATAGGGTATTTTGCTAGTAATGGAGCTGGTAAATCTCTATTACTAACAAGCTCTTTCCCTCCTATGTGTGTTGTACAATTATGTACGCCAATATTCTGGTCATCGAGATAGGATACCTACCTATCCTGTTTTATGTATATGAAATTAGATAATGATAATTTGGGCGCACCAATCAGAACATCACTACTGCAGACAATTTTGTATAGTTGAATCTTTTTTTCAATTGACTCGGTCGGCATTCGAATTCGGGACATTTGCAAAAAACATATACATTACTGCACCACGGAGGTTGTCATTTCATATTACAGGTATTATTATTATTATTTTTTAATACATCTAAGTTCTATCTAATGACATAAACACTAAAATATAATTATGTATATACGTAATGTATAAACACTAAAATATAATTTAAACTTTGTATTTTATTTTTATTTAATAATACAAATGTAAAAGGTTGATTCTTAATTATTATATTATCATAATGTATTTATAGAAGAATTAAAAATAATTAAGAAATACATTATACCCACAATAATTATTCGAAACTTCATAATAAGTCGGTGCGTCATAGTTTACATTAAATGAAATAAACATGGCGGTGGCTTGTCCTCAGCCTTACCCCTCACCACAAACTGCAAATCGAACCGGCATTGCGAGCACGCGGGCTGTGCGTGATCAGCTGGCTGGTTGGTGGTGGTGCAGGTGCTGGCGGGTAGAGGTATGGTGCAGTGGGGGCAGGGATAGCGACCATGCTGTGAGCATGCGCATTGCACGTGCTCTGGGTACTTTATTACTGAGCTACTATTCATTTCAACTGACTTCAAGAAGGTTCTTCATTCCGTGTATCTTACTGTTACGCGCGCAGTATATTTGCTAATAAGAACATATTTTCATTAATCTCTTCAAAACGGCTTACTCCATTTAATTGTTGTTTTCATACTATTTTTGTTTAAACGTAATTGTTTTTTTTAGTAAAGAAAGTAAATATGACGTGTTATTTAATCAGGCATATTAGTATTACAATTCCTACCTTTTATTCAAACTCTATTTACATTATTATATAACTGTTTCTGTTGTGAGTATAGCTATTAAGATTCTAACGGAAAAGATTTCAGTAACACACTATTGGTTCTTTAAATGTAAATTGAATTTAAATTAATGTTAAATAAATAAGAAACAGTGGATATAAAGCATGCTTATTTAGTGTCAAATAGGCTATTTGTGTATTTGCTTATCATTGAGGTGGTTTAAATGCCATAACCTATAACAAAACAAATACATGGACATAACTGAATATATCATGCACTGTCTCTCCTCAGTATTTAAGGTTTCAGGTGTTTTTATCTTTTGTGTAAAAGATTACCTAGTGTAGAGTCTTGTAATGTTAATTTGGTAAAGTTTTATGTAACCTACTTAGGTGGGATAGCACTACGCTCTTAACTATTTATTGTGTAATTTCCGACACAATAGGACTAGTCCTTAGTCCTCAGAAAAGGTAACGCGTGGTGTTTTATTTTGTGACTTCTATGTTACTGTTCATGATAGACAAGAAGAATATACATATGCTTGAATGTAAGATTATTTGTTATTTTCATTAGTGCAAAATAGTTTAAAATAACCATGGATATAGCCGCATGGGTTTGTGCACTCTAATAAAGGCCCTCGGTTGTAACATGTACCACAGAGTAAATGTTTGATAGTACCCATCATTCTTTTAATATTGTATTTCTGGAGTTTTTACCTGAATAACTTATTATGTCACCTTTAGAAGTTAATAAAATAGTGAAAAACATGTGAAGCCTTACTTTGTTAACAGTAGTAATAGATTTTTTGACAGTTGTAACTTTCTGATTTTGAACAACTGGTTTGTTTTTCAGTTAGTCTGTGGTACAGGTTTCATTTTCACGCCGATGTCGAGGGAACCGAGGCAGGGGAGGGCGGAGCGTTATTGTTGATTCGATCGTCTGTCTGTTGACTGCATAAAAGTTACCATACGTTCCAGTATACGTCTGGCAGTAGAAGTGATACTGGCTCTTCTTCGAGCCTAATGGAACATCGTTCCTTCCAGTCAGTGTCGTCTGCGATCGTATTACACAAATCAAACATTCGTCACAAACGTGACAATTGCCGAAAACAGCAAATACTGCTCCTATTATTATGTTGTTTAAACGGGTCTTTGAAGGAAAGTCCATGTTGAACGCCGACGCCAAAAATAAGTCTCCGGAGAAATGTTCTAGAAGGAAGTCCGAATGCGATGGCTGTAGCGAACATTCCACGTAAGTTTCTTTACCTATGAATTCATTGCATTGTGGTTATTTGCAAACTTGATTAGGCACATAAAAACAATTTGAAGCCAGAAGAACTCCAGCAATATTAAAGGTCAGCTCACATTGTCTATGTACTGGTTAGTAGTACCATTAAATAGGTAGGTATTTATTTATTTAACAAAATTATCTTATAATTTTTCATCAAAAGTATTTAATTAATTATTATATTAAATTATATACAACTTCTTAAAAATTTCAAATTTGTACCAAATATTTTGAGAAACTATAACACTTGGAATTCCGAGGTTACGACCATAATTCATAATACGTATAGGTAGTATATTCATAATAATAAAATCAGTAATAAAGAGCATTAACATAAGCTTTAAATTAGTCTAATAATGCCACCTGGTCCAAGAGATTGACCCATTTTCTCTAGAAATATTTATCCACATTTATATTATTATCGCACCGAGTACTGAAAGATCACTGACCTACTAAAACTGTAACCGTGAGTTGTTATTGCAACTGCATAATGCAGCGAATCTATAAGACATTAGTAGGTAGGTATATAGCTTTAGAAAGTATTGAATCAAAAATTTTCTATAGTTCTGTTAGTCTGCACCTTTCATAGAGAATGAGACCTAACATGTTACCTTTACTATTTACTTTTACTTTTCAGTATAAGATTAATTTAGGTTTTTTCTTCTTACCTAATCATTTAGTTATACTGTACCTAGTGTCTATTAGTTTAAATACCTATTTATCCCCATTAACAGATGTTTACGTTTAAATAAATGATCGTTTGGATATAACGACTTAATCACTATAAACATCGGAAATAAATTACTCATCTCAAATCTGTATTTGAAATTATTATTTCTAGTTGACAATAAATAATATCTGTAAATGATTATAACTGAAATAATAATAATAATAATAGTATTGTGTACAAGTTTTTAGTTACATAACTAAGAACTCTAGTTTATCATACGTACCTATGTATATTATAGAGCCGTACAAAGATATATCTATCAAATCAAATGAGTAGATATCTAAGTATATAAATATAGTATAAAAATAAAGCCATACAGGGCCTGTCTTAGTGTACTTTCTTACGTACCTGAGAAAGCTTTTGACAGTCGTTCAGACGAGGAACAAAAATATCCAATTCGATGTAGTCCACGCCAGGTTCGATATCAAATATGCCGGGACCAACGGGTCTATATTTATATGTTGGGTTTCTAGAAAAAGGCCCGTATCGATGCCCTCCCCTCACGCCGGGTTGCGTGTACCAGATATTTGATTATTTTTGTTCCTTTATTAATTGGATTTCTATTATCTATTAAAGAATATAAATAAACAATATAAATAGGTACCTGTGCCTATATAAAATATGAATGTTTGCGAAATGTTTGGACGTCTAATTCATATGAACGGCTGATAATCAGCTGAACGGATGTGAATAAGTAACATTTGACCTCACAATTGGCATAATTATATCCGGGGTTATCGCATATCTTATAGTTTCATTCCGGTAATCCTCATTAATATTAATTAATAAAATGTGAAAATGAGTTCATTAATTTGTTTGTTTTGTTAATTGTTTTGAGCCATAACGGCTAAACAAATTTTTTTATTTTTTTTTTATTTTATTATCAATAAAAATACAAGTTACAGAATTTATGTTACATTAGCATTCAGAAACCACGTAGGTTTATATTAATACTAAATACATTCAAATTATTTAAATTGTATTAAAACCATGCAAGAAGTATCGTATTGTAGTAGCATTTGGCATATATGTTGTATTTGAGGTGGAGATGACCATAGGCTACTTTTTATTCCGGTCTTGCAGATTAAGTTGCGGGTAAAAACTAATAATTTCAACATTTACGACAGTCCATACAATTGGAGTTCACTTTTTATATGTCGTATACATATTCATGTAGGTCCCTTGTGGGTAAACAGCCTATTCTCAATTTAAGATTATGGTCTGTTTGTGTATCAATTTCCATTCAAATTTATTTAGTCTCAGGCTTAGCTATTTGACCAACAAACATCTTTATAAACTTTTATAACAATAATACGTAACGGAGTTAAATTATGTTGGTTGATCAAGTTACAAATTATAGCCTTCATTCTTCTTTTTCTCTTCTCCTCCTTCATCCTCCATACTCAAAATTCCTATTTCATTGAGCCAATTGTGAATGTATGTATCTATGTATGTGTTGTTTATATATATATATATATATATATATATATATTATTTATGTATTATTATTTTTATATATGTAGGTGTATACAGTTACTTTGTATTGTGTTATATGTTTAATTTTAACTACGTATTATTGAGTTTTATCTTTATTTGTACGGTTTTTACCCTTGAACATTTTAAGAGACCCTTCTATGGGATAAATTAAGTACAATAAATATTTTACAAAACAATACAGTAGACTATGTCCTTCGCCATAACAAATACTATTCACCCTTATTCATAAAAACTAAAACCTGCTACAAACCTATTTTAACTATTACAGTGTTTTGTCATTTCATTTAAACTGGGAATTTAGCAAATATTTTTTAGGAATTTAAAACAAAAAAAGGACAAAACAGTTCATGGTTTATGAGATGTTTGACGTATTTATGAATAAGAGCGTTAATCTATACCTAATTTCATGACAATTGGTTGAGCTGTTAAGACGCCAGAAGTTTGGTGTCTTGTTGTAAGTAAAAAGTTAACAAACTCATTGTTACAGTTCTGTTATAATATTAGCAAGAATAAGTAAGCACGTAGTAACATGAATTATAATTCTAATTTAACTAGTAGTTCTAATAATTATTAGAACTACTAGTTGTTCTTACTGTACCATTTATTTGGTCCTTTATCGACTTCATTACTTTAACCACACATGTACAACATCTACTTATATTAAAATTGAATTAACTGTCGGCGTATGAGTATTAATTATCTAAATAAATGCACATAATTGAAATTTTATCAATCAAAGTTCAAACAAAAAAGTCGCACATGGCTTAAAAATAATTCACTTAATTGATGAGGATCATCTTGTAACTATAATCTTGTTTTCTTATAAATATATTTTTATAATACTAGTATTATATTAATAGAAGAGGATAATAAACACAATGTAATATAGTTGTAGTGTAGCTATTTATTCGTGAATGAACATCTTAAATGTATCATTGTGACGTATTCTTACGGTTAAAAGGTTAAAGATCTTTATAAAGGAAAAACAAACTATTTAGTATATCAATTAACAGGCAAATATATATTATAATTGTATGCGAATATAGGTAGATATGTGTAGGTATTGAAACCAGATATATAAAGCATAAAACAGAAAGGCACTACAAAAGCGTCACACATATTGCGACAGTAGGTGGTCGGTCAGTCTGTCTTGAAGTTTATTTATCATCATAAGTGTAAATAAGAACAAAGTACCTAACCTACGTCTTTATCTATTCCATATGGGTATCTATTAAGTTTATAACCGGTAAATATGTTCTCATAAATATTTATGACAGTCTTAACGTATACCTACAAGAATGTTTTGTTCATTGATCTTGAGTTTTTTTGTTAGAGTTTACTTTTGAGACGTGTGTTATTTCTTATATTGTAAGGCCAAAAGAATAAATAATCTGGGTATAAGAATAAAGAATCCTAGTCTTTATTCTTATGGTATGGTCCTGACGGGCTGAGGGTTTAGTTGAGAAAAAAAATATATTAGTTTTATTATATAAATTTAAATAACATCATGGGAGACGTTAGACGTTAATGTTCTCCATATTTTTTTATGAATAAAAATGTAAAGGAAATGTCGTTTAAGCTATTTGTTCATGCTGATGGTGTGCTAATTTCCTCCAAGAAGTTGTAGAACACTATTATAGAGTTCTAAAGCGTTAGAGAATAAAGATAGGTCAGTTAACCGATCGTGATGAATATACCAGGAATTAACTATGATTGTTCTTTGGGAGAATTTGATAAGGAGATTTTAGTTAACGTCATTAAAGAAAAAATACTTTTCAGTATGTACGTATCTCGAAGTTTAGATAACTCTTTATTTACAAGATCACCCTTAATTAGCGCCGGAACTTGACTCGCTTAAATTTTTAAATAAAAATTATCAGCTCATTTTTTAAAATGTTTACTGTTTTTATATATCTCTTATCAATAATGCGGTATATCTCATTAAAATTGCTATGTAATGTTTAACTTAATATTAATATAATACGTATTATTTTAATTGAATCATCGGAACTAAGTTATTAATAATGCTGGGGACTCTACTTTTACATAATTATTCTAAACACAATTTGATTTTAATTAGATTTTAAAAATATATATAAAATATATATAAAAATTATCTTGGAACTAAACTGAGGTGTGGATTTAGTTACAATATACTCTTTAGCCAAATAAAATTTTAATACAAAATAAATTTATAATACAATTTAATTTATTTCTCTACCGGTTCTTAATTCGAACTTCCCGACTATTTTATGCTCATTATAATTGTGAAGGTTTTCTAAAATAATAAAATGTACTAATATGAGGGAAGAATTGTTTTATTTATAATACTTAATACTTCTTAATCCTAGAGAATTAAGAGGTATTACAGTAGTACATATATTACAAATTCAACTGTAATATTCTGTAATTAAACATACGTTATTAGTTGTATAATGGGAAAATGTTTTAGTAGTAAAGCAGTTGTACTTCCATAACAAATCGTTATGAGCAGAATACTCTATATTTTTTAATGTAAACGAAAAGATTATAAAGTAAAATTTAAATATAAAGAAAGTTTAGAAAATTTTCAATTATCAGTTATTAAATACAAGAAATCAGTTTTTTATAACAGACCCTTTAGTTTTAATATCTTTAGTCTACAAAACGTCAAACAAGTTATTCAAGTAATACCTACGTAGATAACTATTGTTCAAGTTGGAATATGGACGTGATATTTAACGTTCGTACAGGGGGCTCGCCTGATTCCTTTCCAGCCAGAGTGACGAAACACAATTACCAGATACCATTAATAAGGTCAAGTTATCAGAGGTTAATATTGATAAGTAATGTAGTCGTAATATACGCCTTAATAAAACTGCCTGTTTCATTATTTGTTGATCAGTCTCAATTGGGAGTTCCCGGTAACCATTATTAAGTTCTTTTTACTCAATGGTAGATTTTTGTTGCGGTATACGGTTAGTTTTAGAAATGTTATTAAGAAATTGTTCAGATTAGCAAACAGGGTCATATAATTATTGTTTTGTTTGCTTTTGTAGCATTCTGGAAGAAATGATGAAGATGGTGATGCTTGGTGTGGTGCTTTGGGCAGGCGTGACATTTGGAAGCCATGTCGCTCCATATCCACTTAATTTGTTGATCACAACAGGTAAGTTCAAATTCGCTTAATAAAAGATAAAAGCTTGATCATTTAATTGACAATGAATATATTAATAATCAATTTACAGATACAATACATCCGCCGCCCATGTACGACTTTCCATTTCCAAGTCCGGAGAAGTTGAAAAGGTTACCACCAGTTACTACCACGCTTACCAACAGATCTATAGATATAAGCAAACTCAGTGTTGCCTTATTAGAGAGATTAGAAACAAACCTCCAAGCTGCTGGGATTACCCCGAAGGCCGGATCACCAGCTCAGGGGCTTGCTATTCTCGGATCTCCATCTGGTGACGCTATGCATTATCAAGAATCGTCAATGATTATTACTAAAGCATCGCAGAATTTAGTTCACAGCAGATGTGAAAGGTAAATCTAATAATTTATTAATATAATAAACATAATAATAATTTACTTACCTGTAAGTAATATATTATTTGTATTCCTATATGATTTGAATAATCAAGGAGGTCTAGACAAAGAAGTTCATTAAATTTTTTATACATCTATGCTGAACAATTTCAGCCTTCTGTTAGAAAATGACATCAATATGTCTTCCTACCAAATACTTTTCTTTTTAATAGAACGAAAATGAAGTGGCAACCCCGCTTGCACTATTGGTATATATGTTGGCAGAGAACCATTAAGTGGCAACAGGTAAGCATGAAGTCAAGTGGTTGACTTGACTTTACGTTCATCTCAGCCAGTTGCGACAAATTCATCTGGATGAATCGTAAGGGAAACCCTGTAACTCTGTAAATCGACACAGAAGTCGATTTACAGGGTTATGAGTTCCCATTACTGACAGTTCTTCCCAACCTCTACTAAATACTGATGATTTGTGTGAATTACATTTACCTTTTAAAAATATGTTTAATGATTGGTTTGTCTTCGACTAGGTATGGTCTGGCAAATGATGAATGCGCGAGTTATATAAGCACGCTTAACCTGCGCGAGAGCATGTACGGTGGAGAGTGTGCCGGACTGGAGCGGTTCACGTGTAGAACACAGATGATGTCCTCTCGGTACCGCTCCTTTGATGGCTCATGTAACAACCCTGTACGGTCATCGTGGGGACAAGCTTTAACTGGCTACAAACGGTTATTACACCCAAGATACGCCGACGGCATCGAACAGGTTAGACGTCATTGATATTTAAAATAAAACCTATTTTTTTTTGTAAATACTATATTTTTATTTACTGATACTTACACGTAGAGCTTGTTATACAATTGTAGTTTTTCTGACAATTTACTCGTATTTATTGATGATCAATTAATATCGATGTTTCAAAAATAACATGTTTACAGCGCGTTGTAAACTAATTAGTAAACTATTTTTAGTTTATTATATTTTCGTTTACTTACACTTATAGGTGTTGTTGTTCATAATACAAATATTTTGTTGTATGTCTTGTTGGTAACTAAGAAATAATACGTATTAAAAAAAAACAGTCTAAGGTTACCGACAACCTAACTACTTATTGATAGTCAGATGACATTGATGTGTCGAAAATAATGTTTACTATGCGTTTTTTTTGTAATTAAAATTACTTAAAATAGTTTACTACATTTCTGTTTACTAACATTTTGTCTTAAAATTTTTTTGTTTTACAATTTTGTATTACAATTTTTTTTTGTAATTAAGAAACTACATGCATTTAATAATAATAAAAAAAAAAACTCAAGTCACAAGATCTTACGTAATTCACTGATATAGTTAAAGTATTTTACATACATGTAGAAACCTCAATATTTAGGTACATATTCTATGTAAATGATACAAAATGATGAGTGAATGAATCCATTCAATATTATTTTATTCTTGCAGCCACGCCGAGCCATTAGTCACAAAGCATTACCTTCTGCCCGTGTTGTTAGCAATAAGATGGCTAATAATTTAGATAGGCCTGATGATAAGAACACCATAGCTTTGGCTGTTTGGAGTCAATTTGTATACCATGATTTGGTGCATATACCTGTTCGCAAAACAAGTAAGGTTTTAATTCTTACACATTTATTTTTTTATTCTCATTATAAATTTTAGTCAAAAGATTAGAGAAATAAATTACGACATATCATAGAAAGAAATTAATTGACATATGTAGTACAAAGAATAGGTTCCAATATTTATACATGTAAATTTTTTCACAATGTAATTAAGTAGAAACAATAAAACTTGGGAACTAACATAGGTGTGGTTAACATTGCAATAAAAATTATCAACAATTGAAAAAAAAAAAGGAATAATAGTGTAGGTAAATTATAAAGATTATGATTGCCTAATACTTTTCATAAGATGGTAATTGCATTGCCATTTACAATAGATTGCCACTGCTATTGAGCAAGGTAGTGAGTTAAAATAGTTTTTATTCGGAGCTAATTGTCTTGATTTTTCCATAATAACCAATTTAAATATAATTCTATTTTTGCAGTTCATACAAAGCAAGCTATCCGGTGCTGCGATAACACCGGCTTTAATCTGAGCCCTCGGTACATTCACCCTAGTTGCATGCCCATCTCGGTGCCTGACAATGATCCCTTCTTCAAAGATAAATATGTCTCTTGCATGGAATATACAAGATCGGCCACTACCTACCGCGGAGATTGCACATTTGGAGCGTCAGAACAGGTATTTATAATGTATTATTGCTATATGAGTACTCATATGTAGTTTTTTATTTTTAGAACGAAAATAATTGGAACAGAAAAAGGTAACCGTAAAAAACGGTAAAAGATAATTTAGCTATTACCTACATATCGGATATATATTTTTAAATGTGATTGTATATCCATATTTAAATACATATATTATAATTAAGTTTATACAGAGAACAAAAATGAATTTTTATTTAATTATATAAGTTTTATAATAACTAATTTCCAGATTAATCTATCAATGTATGGTAAAATACTTGGATCTGTCATCAACGCATTTATTAAAATAGGGTATTTTGTATTCCTAATGGAAATGCAAAAAAAAAAATTAACGAGCAAAATCGCACTCTTTTTTGTTATTTCAATGTAAATAAGTGACTAGGTTTGGAATTGACAACATACATTAAATACTATTTATAGCTGAATTTTGTTTTTGATTAGTTATTTATGCATATATACGTTATAAATACAAATGATATCTTTAAAACGTAATAAACCTTGTCATTCAATTCACATGTAAATAAACATACGTACGTATTTTTTGCCAATTTAACGAGTTTACGAGCAAATTTCTATTTTGGGGCTCTCGTAGATAAACAAGTAAACGATGTTCCATTCATTGGGCTCTACTGGAAAGTTCTACTGCAACGTCGTTGTGTTATCTTTTGTTTATTAGTTTTTTGATTTTTTTTTTAAATTACGCTGCACATATTTATTATACATTATCGTATATACTAAATAGAACAATGTAGTTAACCGTATTTTATTGTATTTGTTACGTAGTGTAAAAATATCTAAAGAAAAACATTACTTACATTGAAACGTCTGTATTAGAAACAATCAAGAAAGTCGTTAAATATTACCTACTTGAACTTTTAAACTGTAATCATTGACATTAATAAAAATAATATCCAATAGGAAAAATACCTAATTGTCTAAATCAAACCAATTGCCTTCCCCTCAAAGACTAGTTATTATGAACTATGTACCTACTAATGTAAAATTTTACTGGTAAGGCGTACTTACTTATATTGGTACAAATATTGTGATAGTTTTATTTTGTAGAAAATATTACAAGTAAGCTTACGGCCACTAACTTTATTTATCTATTCTAGATGTCTGCCAATCTTCTAAATATTCTAAAGAGAGTAAATAAATTTGAATAATTTGGATTGAAGCAAAACATGTCGCTTTGCCCAGTTGGGCAGTTGAGCTTTATGTATGTAGAAAGAGCAGTTGCTCTTTCTACATACAGTGAATGAGTAATATTTCGGTTTTATACGTCACTAGCCATGTGCCTGATAAGTAAATCATGATAATCTTACAAACATTCTAAAGATGACGTCCTTCTTACTGCTAATTGCTGTGCCCGACAGGGTCTACACTTAGAACTACAGTTCTAACTTAAGTACATTTCAGTAGTTAATATACTTTACTGATTATTAAGATCTTTTGTTAAAAGTAACTCAATATGCTTAGTGCTAGAATTGAATTTACATCGTATCTGTTATGTAAAAAATTGTTGAATATAATATACGTGACTAGATTTTACCCGTGATCCGCGTGATCGGGATATGTTGACTGACTGGGGTAAAACGTAGCCTTCTTCATCCCATATTATAGTAGGTGTTGTAAGAGGTTGTCTGTAAGAGATTGCTTTTAGCGATAAGGCCGCCTTTTGTATATGCACATTCTGTATAATTAATCCTTGTATACATCTCTACTGTGCGCAATAAAGAGTTTATTATTATTATTATTAGGTGTATATTACACTTCATAGTAATGGTTAAGCCATAAAGCGCTAAGGGGTAATAGATAAACTTACTTTCACATTTATAATATTAATAGAGATCAGCGGGTCTACCATGAAATGAAATTCCGAAATTTCGGACACAATTTCGTGTTTATGTTTATACCAAAATCGGACCAATAAATGGAGTTTAACATTTCGTTCGTCATACATCCTGTCATAAAAGTCCAAAGGAACCATATTTTAACATTTTTGATATTTCTAAACGGCATGTATTATGTAATTTTAACATCAAATTTATGTTTCGTTTGGCTCCGAAATTTCGGAAAACATTTCATGGTAGGCCCTCAGTATTATGGCATATATGTATATGCTACGCAGTATAAGGATACTGAAAAATTCAATATGTTTATTGATTATTGATGGTGACCGTTCCACTGGATAAAGATGATTTCAGTGTCAAACGATAGATTAATCAATGACTACATAATTGCGTAACATTAATCACAATAGGTGGTATTGATTTATTAACAACAGTAGCAAGGTCATTTCTAGTCGATTGATGCAACGCAATAGAAATATTAAAGGTTGTTCTAGTTTTTATTGCAACTAGATACCTACTAGGTACACCCATTGCGTTGATTTTTAGTTACTGCACATTTTACTTAGGTACTACTACATTTGTTAATAAATAATTATTGTTATAAATTACCATATTATACGTTAGTATTTAAAAAAATCTTTAACTGATTATCGACTTTGATTTAAGAATAATTTTTACTTCCGTTTACTTGTGGTTTGAATCCATACGAATTTTGTAAACAGTAATTTTTTTTACGAAAGAATAAAATTTTAATTTATTCTTTTAAGATTTTTGTGGAAGTTCATATCAGCCGGAGGCTTGTCCTGATAACGTTTTGTTAAAATAAACAATATTCATATCTTTCCCGACCTCTGAGATAAATAACCCAATACCTAATAAATATTAATTTAGTCAAAAATAGGTAAAGATTTCATATATCCGCATATTATTCGGATTTACATTCCTTCATGTTTGCTCGTAAGCCATCAAATATATGTACATATATTTGATGGCTTACGAGTGGCATTTTGCGGTGTTCCAATTAATAGATATAATATTATGGTGCCCCTATTTATGTATACATAGATGAATAATATAAGTTTATTTGTGACATTTAATGTTAAACAGGAATCCAAAATATTTGTAAAATAAAAAAAAAAATATATAGATACTATTACGTCTATTTTTATGGGCATAATAAATTTCTTAGTTATACTTATTGGTCCATTGATACACATGGATATTAGGAACCTGCTAGAGTATTGCCTAGAGTATTATTTGGGATATCAGAGTATTGTCTAAAGCGAGCTAAAACACTGGAAACTTCATTTCACAATATTTAATGTACGTGGTAAATCTACGTTATAGATAGAACACTATCCTATGGAAAGTTTTTTTGAATGGTTACAATTCGGTACGTGTGCATAATACTTACTAACTCAATTGATAATGTTTACGTCATGAAAACAAGGGCAGTTTGGACTACATTACGTTGTGTGTCACTGAACTCGTCATGTACGTACCTACCTACAGATACCGAATTGTCTTTTATTTCATTTCGCAATAATTTCAAAGAATATTTTTCCAAACAAATATATTCACTAACTGGCACATTCGCAGAGTATTTATTATACCTACATAGTGGATACTTGAATCAAATAAATGAAAGGCGTGCAAACAAATTGAATAATTAGCTTTCTCTCCACTTCGTTCGTGAATTTCGATTAAATTATCCCACAGAATCTGATTATGGAGTTAAATAATTCAACATATTTCTATCACCATGTCTTATTTAGATTTGTAGGTATTATTCTAAACAGTACTGCTTTCCAGTAATATCTGAATAATATCATATAATAGAGTCAGATGTAACGTTGACAGGTTAAAAAGTCGTTTACCATACAAAATGAATCATACTATGATTCCTGCAAATTAGGTTTAATTAAAGATAAAAATTAAATGGTAAATAAAGGGTTACAGATGAATATCAAGTTAAATCGGTTGACCGATTGTGAGAAATAAATCAGGAATTAACTACGATGGTTTGAAGTGACAGTGTATAATACTAACAATCGAGCTATTGGACTACATTTTTCATCCGAGTCCTTTCCGGAGGCAGGGAGTGCTTCTTATGAAAAACGTCTATTATTGTTCGTAGATGAATCAAGCTACACATTTCCTGGATGGATCTCACATTTATGGCACCAATGGCCGTGATGCAGCCCTCTTGCGAGAGAAGACTGGTGGTCTACTTAAGACGAGTGATATAGATGGAGAGGAACTATTGCCGTTAGCTCTAAATCCTACCGAGAAGTGTCTTGTTGAAAATACATCAGGTGTTTGCTTTAATGCGGGTAAGTTCTTTTCTTTATTTTATCATATTTATTTTGTTGTATTTTTAACTGAAAATGGTATTAAAGTGATAAATTATAAAATTATAATTACATTTTCTAAAATACTCACATCAACCAAAACCGTTGTGATATATTTTATTTCTTTTAACTTTTCTTTTTATTTTTCTTTTTTGGTTATTGTAGAGGGTACAATATCAAAAAATGAAAGAAATATCATATCTTATATCGTATGTATAGAAAAAGTAGAAAGAGCTTGGCTCTTATTAGAATAGATGTTAAAATCTAAATTTTGTCAAACACATTTTGATGGCAGTTCTTTACTTTAATACAATATTTCATTATATTAATAATTATATAATTTTATAGACTTTTATTTTTTAAATATACCTAACTTATAATGGAAAATGTTACTAACAACTTGACAAATCTAGAAATATCTTCAATACAATATACCTACTGTTTAGAAATAGACTGTGATAAAAAGTACACGCGTGGTACTAAACAATGTTTACGTATTGATAAATAAGTTCTGTAGGTATAGACAAATATAGTCGATAAAAGACGTCAGTCTACTGATATCTACAATATTGTCTACATTATAAAGATTAAACAGGATCCATTACTTTGTCACTTACTTAGTAAAGTTATAGATAAGCAATAATGTTAATAGGTTTATACTAATTATTATGCTAATTGTCATATTATTATTATAACGTCGATGCACTTTGTGACTAAATATTTCTGTTAATACTTTAAATTCCTCTCTTCTTCTCTTTTTATACAATTAAGAAATGCACTTATATATTTCTCAATGCATTATCCAAGTATAGGTATCTCTATTTCTAAATATGGATATTATAACAATTAACAAATGTCCCATTCCCGTATAGTAAATAAAATTATTGTTATTATACTAAAAGTAATTAAAGTATATAATATAAGTATTTAACGAGAAGATAAAAAGAATAATTTGAAAAGAAAAAATTAAATGTTTTATCAAATCTTTGCTCCAGGAGATGTACGCGCCAATATTTACCCATGGATGATCAGTCTTCAATCGCTATGGGTGAGAGAGCACAATCGGATTGCCCGTAATTTGGCAACTCTCAACCCTGGGTGGAATTCTGACAAATTGTACCACGAGGCTAGAAGAATCGTAGTTGCTGAATTACAACATATCACATACAAAAATTGGATTCCGGCCCTTACAGGTTAGTAATTATAAATTTTATATTCCCAATCAACTAATTATTTAAGAGTAGTTTTACTTGCGACTTCGTAAGATATCCATTCCAGTTTACTTGTTTGTTATTTCTTGGTGCTTTATGGTTCAACCAATTCTCATGAAACATATACACATACTGCTTGAGATGGAGAAGAACTTTTTCTGTTGTTAAGTATTCTGGTCAAAGAACATATATTTGGTCACGTGGACGAAATATTTTGTATAAATTTGTATTAAATTATTATTATACATTCAAAAATTTCATACAACATAATTAATTATTAGCCATACTTATTATAACTCGATGAAGCATTAAAGAACGAATGTGTGAATGAATGAATGTTATCCGCTCCTTCCATCTTGCCCTCCCCTCCCCTATATTTTATTTGCATTACACGATATAGGAAATAAGCAAAACAATTAATAAATATAACGATACAATTGTATAAGTACAGTAAGGCTTATGAAGTAAAGTAAATGTCAGATGCACAAATAATAAGTTGTAGGTTATGCATGAATGACATTTAGGTTAGTGCCCCGTTAGTTTGAGCGATAAAAATCCGCAATCAGTAAACAAGTATTTGGGTGATCTACTTCATACAATATATGTAAATATTGTTTTCTAGTAAGCTATCTGCTTATAATCACGTACACCAGTTTTTAATTATAATAAGTTAGTTATTGTTTCATCCTCATATCAGACATTAACTGTCCACTGCCGAACGAAAGTCTCCCCCTTGAGGGTTGTTGTCTGTAGTTGCCACGCTTGGCAAGCAGATTAGCAACCGCAGTTAGGCTTTGGCGATGTATAAAGAGAGACGTTTCTGTCTATCTCTTGACCATTAAGTTTTCTTCGATTATGCACCTACTTAGATAGGTTCTCAATATTTAATTTTTTTTTTAATTGGATGTTTTTTTTTGTATTTTTCAGGAAAAGTATTCGATGAACTATACGAAGGTTACGACACAGGATACAATCCCGACGTGAATCCAACCATCACCAACTCATTTGCAACTGCAGTCTTTCACTTCGTTAACAGCCTTTTAGACCAAGATTTAGAGTTATTAGATGAAAACAACAATGTCGTATCAACGTCCAGACTTATGAATAATTATTTCAAGCCCGAGATTCTTACACAAAAAGGATCTTTACAGAAAGTTTTAAGGGGAATGGTCAGCCAGAGAAGTCAAAAACTTGACTTCAACTACGATGATGATGTGAGTACGATTGATTTTTAATGATTCAATATAGTAACCTTCTACGAGAAATTTTATATCCTATATTAGTATTATAAATGTGAAAGTTTGTGATAATAGTTCTATTTCACGCAATAACTATGAGCAAAGATAGGTTAATTCAAACTTAGCTTAGGATATTTTATGTATTGATTTACGCATACGTAAATGCGATTACAGAATTTTTTTATGAACATGAGTTTATAAAGAAACTATAGGCTCAATCTCACCTATATAAAATATCATTTTAAAATGTATTAATAAATCTACTTTTATAAAACTACCTGTTTTGGGTTTGATTATTTCCGACAATATTTTCATAGTAAATTACGAAATTTTATATTGTTATTCAATATAGAAATAATGTAATTGTTAACTAATAACGATTACATTATTAATAAATAAATAGTTCTCTGAACAAATATGGTTAATTATTAACATAAAGGTATACATATTACTTTACGTCGTTCACAATACAGCTGGTCTAGGGCCATGTCGTGGTTACGTACACAGCGCGGCCGGCCTAACAATATTAAATACAGCTAGCATTATTTGATTAAATCCATATGAATGCTTTTAAACCAATTTCTATATTTATCAGTTTTTAAAAACTGGTAATATTGACGTATTTAAATAAATATTTATACAATAATGTAGACAGAGTAGATACGCAATATTATTCAAGTTGCCATTCAATACGGTTTACCGATATTTGTTCAGTTGTGCCTTAAACAATACGAAACAATTCAATGCCAATTCATAGATGTCATGTTTACATTCTATTCGAAGCCATTTCTAAATAATGAATTTGTTTTACGGAGTACGTAAATCTAAATTTAGTTTTGAATTTATTAAATGCCTGTAATTTTGAAAAGTAATTAGGTATTAAGCTTGTAAAGAATTAAGTGGTTGCATTTCAAAGTGTAAGACACTTTTAAAATTTATACATAGATGTCCAAAATACTTTTTATTTCATTCTATATAAACATATGTATCCAATGAAATACTTAAGTATATATTTTTTTTAAATCGATGATGTTTTGAGGTATCCAACATAGAAAAATACAAGTGAATTGAAAATTTTCTCCTTTTTTGATGTTGGTTAAAAATGGTTTTTATAAAACAACGAATATTTTTTTACAGTTACGTCATCACTGGCTCGGCGGTTTGGATGTGTTGGCTATCGACATTCAACGGGGTCGCGACCACGGACTTCCTGGGTATACACAATATCGAGCGCTGTGCGACCTAACCCCAGCGTCCACTTTTGAGCAATTGTCTGATGTCATGCCACAGGAGGTATGCATTAATGTCTTCTAGATTTTTATAATGCTAGAATGGTAGAAAATCTTGTGAAACACGATTACTATAGCCTGTAAACGCCTGCAGCACTAAAGTATGTGTGTAAAAATGAGGGTCTATCATAAAATTACATTCCGTATTATTTCGAACTGAATTCCGTATTTTTATTCATACTACGGTCTACTAAATAGAGTTTAACATTTCAATAATAACAACAAACAATAATTTGTATTTCGTCTAGTCTCGAAATTTCGGATAACATTTCATGGTAGGCCCTTTGGTTACCGATCTAGAAGAAACCTTAAAATAGTACATCCCCTTTGATGAATTTCTTATTGTAATATCTAGATAAGTCTTCACGTCGTTATTCATTGGAACTTCTGGACCGCAGTCAAATATTTTCCGACTCAGCAGTTACCATTCACTTATAAGGATATATTTTTTTATACAACACATGGTTATTACCTTCATAACTTTCACAATAATATTATGTGTACGTGTTTTATTTACAGACGGTGGAAAAACTCTCTCAACTGTATGAGAATCCTGCTGATATTGACTTATTGGTGGGCATTATGGCAGAGAATCCTTTGCCGTCATCATTATTGGGACCTACTGCCACCTGTTTCTTAAGTGAGTAAACGTCTTATTGTTTAAGATTCAAGAGACACTTTATTTCTCGGATAGAGTACGTTATAGAAATTCCAGATTTCTATAACGTACTTGTTGACAGTAAGCAAAGGATTTGTTGATTAAAATAATCAGCTCATGTAGATTTTAAAAAAAATTGCAATTACTTTTTTTTGTTTTAAAATTAAAAATCAATTATTTTATATAAATATACTTAATTCTATTAAGGCATTGCAATAGTTACTAAAGTTAACGTGTTGAGGTTTTGTACATTTATATGTATTAGACTTGCGTTAAGAGTTAGTTTCTATAAATTCCCAAAAATATATAGTTAATAAGCTTTGCATTTCCTTACTAGTTTTTTTATTTTGTTTTTAAATGGTATTATTATTTTTTTTTATAGAGGAGCAATTCTGGCGTACCCGTGCTGGAGACCGCTATTTCTATACGCACGTGGATGAAGCTGGCAGCTTCACCAAACGGCAGTTGTCTGAAATCAGGCGCGTCTCTCTTTCAAGACTGCTGTGTGACAACGCTGGTTTTACTAAGGTCCAGCGAGATGTATTCCAAGTTCCTTCTGAAAGGTATTGTATTATCTTTATTGTACATATTTACATTGGACACATTAAAAGTATTAATATATAATGGCGGACTTATCCCATACAGGATCTCTTAAAGTCAACCTTTATTATTAAATTTTATTTATTATATCTTTTTTATATGACAAAGAAAAACAAAAAGAAGGTTAACTTGGGATATGGTGTGAATTTACTGGGTATGGAGAAATAACACCTGAGTCCTCAGGAATAGCAACGCATGGGGGTATCATGGGCGAAACAGTATACTCTATTATGTCCATGGTACTGCTCATGTCTATATGCGACGGTTACCACTTTCCATCAGGTGGGCTGTCAGCTTGTTTGCCATTCTTAGTTGTATAAAAATATATATATATATATATATATATATATATATATAAAACTTGATTGAAAGTGGCGATCATTATTTATTGACATTGATATCAAACAGGATATACTACTGAAGTTTATATTTATGTTATTACCTTTTATGTCGCTACTTCTTATATGTTTAATGACAATATATATATATATATATATAAATGTGAACGTTTGGATGTTTGTGTTTGGATGAAATGTTTTACCCCCTATTATGCATAAACAACTGAATGGTTTTAAATAAAATTGAGTAACTTACTCAATATATACATGGTGTTATATAAATTTACAAGGTTATAAATTTATTTACACTGATTTATAGGATATGAAAGGGATTCCTCTGTATTGAAAACTAATTCCAATCTCTACTTGAAATTGGTATGGGACTACCTATACTAATTTCAAGTCGAGATTGGAATATTTTGTTTTTACCTAAAATAATATGAACAAAAATAAGATATATGGATTACTACAATATACTTTTTTTCTTTGTTTCAGCAATCCTTTAGTTTCTTGCGATGAAATAAAGAAGGTGAATTTAGAAGCGTGGCAGGACCCATCACAGCGGCCTGATATTTTAACACGTACCACAAAGTGGATTAAAAACAAAGTCGGTACAACAAACACCACAAAATAGGCTAAAACATCAAGCGTTAATTTACTCTTAAGTTATTTATAAGTTTTATATTCGTAAGGCTTTTGTCTGTGGTGCAAGTTTAACTGTTATCATGTTAATCAGTATTTCGTTTGTAAAATTTATTTTAAAACTTTATTACATTGGAATTATTAAGACTGATTTGTAATAAGTACGATTCCTATGAATAAAGATCTATTTACTTTTAATATACATTTATTAAGAACTTTGGCTTTCATTAACATCTTTTCATTAATATCCTTTGAAAATTCCTAATAGTCCAGTCACAAAACTGTATTCAAGATATTTCAATATTTATCTTATCGCGAGTTTGTTCAACTTGCACCATAGTTTATTCATAGTCGAGTAAATACACAGTATTGTGGTTGTCTATGGGAGTGTTTCTAATAGCTCCAGTATGAAAAGTTCTTTCCTATTTTATTCAAATATCGAACAAATACGACTTGACTCGTATGTATGATTTATATTTAAGCGTGTTTGAGACTCAGACATAATGGTTGAAAAATGGTCGATTTGAATGGTTGAAAGGCTTATGAAACAGTACATTCAATGGTAAATATGTATTACATTTTGTAGTTACATTTGGCTGTGATTCTGTCAACGTGGGCATAATGTTTGTTTGTCAAAAATGTCTCTCTAAATCTATAGTTTTCATTTTCGTTTACATTTCAGTCTTAATTAAAATTAATTTATTATCAGTTTTAAACAGACCTACTTACTTCCAGTGATTTATAAAAAAAGGATAATTTTTGAACTCCGACGTTAATATAGGTACCAAAAGTTTAAATGCTATAATAAGTACACATACAGACAAATCATTGACCTTTGTATATGTATGTACCTTTCATGGCATCGTGGCTTCAAATGGACTCACAAATAAGACTGCATTATAACGATATATCTATTTGAATAACTCGTTTTTAATGTAGTCCCAATTACTAATGACTTTTAATAGAGATGACTCTTAGCTATGTTTAAATTAGTTTATTTGATCAGAGATTTTTAAATTTAAATTTTAGTACCTTCTGTATGCTAAGACTGTAATGTATCACGCGTGTAATGATCCTTTATATGTATCACGATTCATATGTTAAAAGATCGTGGTGGTGTATACCTAGAACAATTAACACTTACGGAAGAGTAGTGTAAAGGGATATATTACACTATGAAAGACTTAGGTTTAATACATATTTTAAAATTACAATCATATATGGGAAACTGAAGTGATTTTTATTAGATGATACAAGAACTATACAAATTTGTAAAATATTTTAATGAAAATAGATAAATAATGTGGTAAATTAATTCAGATATAACCCTATATGTTCAATAGTGTAATATGCCTCTAGTTATTGAAACATTTAACAGTTTTACGATAAAATTGCGTGATTGTATGGTTGGTTTACTAGATTTTAATGTTAAATAACAAGAGAATGTGACCTTATTTAATTCAGGTAATAATTATATGATAACTATTTATTTAAAAGTGATATAAAACTATTTTATTATATAACGTTTGAGGCTGTGATAAATATTTTTATCTGCAGGCCCAAAATTTTGAATTGGTTTTTAATTATGTTGATTTATAATCATAATGATCGTGTACTTATATAATGAACTTAAATACATTATATTATGAAAATTGTATATTTTATTTCTCTATGAAATAAAATGTTATTTAACAGCTGAATTATTTCTCATATAGATAAAGTCGTATTTTGCATTTTTATATTATATGCACAATGCAATACACTGCCAAAGACTTGTAACAAAATAAGTAGTTATGTTGGTTTTCGAGTAATATATTAGGTAAAAAGGTACGTAAACATGAGACGAAATCTACATTACCTAAATTAAATGTCTTTAAATTTTTATTCGAATCTAAGTATTTTAGTAGACAGTCTGATATACATCGAAGCATGTCAAATATAAATAAACTTTTTAAGTAATTTAGATAGGTTTATCTGTTACACAGTATTTCATTACCAATATTGAAAAGTTTATTTCTTTTTTAATGTCATTTAACTTTGTTACAATTGACGACGTAACTATTTTTTTGTCGAGCTGTATATTAAATTGTGGCTAGGTAGTGAAATTAATTGACACTGAACTATTATAATTCTAACAATATTTAAAACATCTAGTGTTTGTGAAGAAATAAATTCATCTCTTTCTCTGGTTGTCTGTGTGTACCTGGATCAGAAATATCCTATTCATTATATCTATAAACGTCTATAAATTATTGATACTACATGATCTAATAATAATTTTATTTTTCACGAAATACTGTGTATTTTTTTTGTACGTTGTCAAATAAAACTGTTCAACTTTAATCTTGTTGTTTTCCTTTAATAGTAAACGGTAAGCAATAAAAAAGGGTAATATGTACAATATTATTTGTATTTTATAATAAATAAGGTCAGAATTTATCTATTGAATAAATTATTGCAAACAGTATTGATTGTCATTGGAACTTGACAATATTTATGTAAAGATTCAATACTCGGGGCTCTCTGCCTACTCCCAAAAAGATTTTGTGTGAACTTTAAAGAATTTTGCTATTTTAATATAATATTTTAAGGGATCCCTCCCTTAGCAAACAGCAAAGAGAATCTATCCAAAATAGTAATTATTATCATTTCCTCTCACAGATTAAGAATAAGCACCTCTATGGCTATAGCGTAAGTACTTACAAACTGTCGCGTCACTGCTCTAGAACACAAGTAATATACAGTAAGTGAAATATCATTAAATTAAAGTATACTTAGGAAGCGAGTTGAATTGCATCACGGATCTACATTGGGTTCAATGACAAGCTTCTGTACGTGTTATCACTTAACTTGAATCCCTACTTTCGCACATTTTGCGAAACAGTCCCTCTTCAAGTGGTTGACTTCTCGTTTGGTAATGAGAATGGAGTTTGATTAAATTTTGGTATCTACGAGTACTATAATGCCGTTTTGTCTTCATATTTTAGAGAATATATAGAGGATGAACATGTAAATAGCTTTGTGGGATATTGTCGACGCGTGTATCTAATTTGTAGGTACAAGTTAGATACTAAATCACTTGTAGTTAAATTAAGTAAAAACCATAATATTAATAATAATAACAATTGGGTTTTTATATAATTTGGAAAAGTAATCAAATCGATCTAGTTGATTTCCATTAACTAAGTAGGTACTACTAGTATTTTACAGTAGTAATTGTTTTTTGTAATCCCACTCGCGCTACCGGCATGAGCTGGCGGGGCCCCAGTGAGGGATGATAAATGAGTATGAAGCAGATCAGTTGGTCCAACGTGACAAATTTATCTAAAATTAACCACGATGTTTTCTAGGGGGAATCGCGTGGAGATCGACCTGTTAGGGAATACATTTCATTACTAACAATTCCTTTTAATAATTGTCCGAATTATACCGTAGACATGAGTACACTGTGCATAGTGCCCAGTTCGGGGTAAAAGAATCGTTAGTAACTGGAGCTAGCTGCCTGATTACTGACAATATATCCTTGAAATGCTCAGTCCGGGGGGAGGGGAAGGGATTGTTAGTAAGGGGTCTAACACCCCCATTGCCATTGCTACCCTAACAGATCGACCTCCATGCGATTCCGCCTGGAAACAATTGTGGTTAATTAGTGATGAATTCGTCACATTGGACTACTTGAGCTGCTTTCATCTTTATTTATTATCTTAGTCTCTCTAGTCTCTATTTCTATAGTTTATTCTGGAAAAAATGTTTCCATAATAATATTACATAATAATTACTTAATTTAAGTACTTGAAATCAAACTTGAATTTCATATTTAACAGATTGTTATCAAGTTTTCTTGATTCTAAGTTATTAAAAAAATCCCTACAGAGGCTGGATCTGTTAACTACGAAGTTCTTTGAGTTTGTTACGCGATTTATAATAAAATTTACACTTGATTGGATTTCTATTTCACTGGCTGCCTAAATATTGATCATGCAGATATTCCTGAATTATGAAACTCAGCAGGGTTCCGAGAATCAATCTTATTTGTTAATACGTGCTAATTAACTTATTAATATTCCCATGATAATACACTTCGCTGAAATTATACGAATTTGTATAAAGTTTATAGGGAGTTCATAGAAAGTTCAAAGTTCATAGAGAGGTGATCGAAAACCAGAAAGACAAAAAGTGTATTGGTATGGTATAGAAGTAACAGATTAGAAAATATAGACCATTATATAAGATTTTGGTGATGGACAAAGTATATTCAATTTTATTGGTGAGAAGCTGCAAAAAAGTAATGACATTATGAAATTGTTCCATAATACCTATTAGAAGTTTAGGAACTGCTGCCATACGCTGGAATACGTGAGCACGCAGATTAATCAAAACAAGGGATTGTTTAAAAAGTTCAAGGTGAAAGGTTTTAAATTTATACAATTTTAACAGTATTTTTTTCTGCATTTGTTTTTGTATCATTAGGTATCTATTTAAATTTCTAAAATTTTAATTGATAACTATGTACTCTATATTTTAATTGCGGGTATTTTTTTATGATAAGATATACATTTAAAATAAAGTTACAATGATTCCTTCATGTGTCAAACTTATAGATTAAGGATAGTACCTGCAAAGTCAAACTGGAATTTCTTCTATCTGAGAACATTAGATATGCCCAAATTCCGACTCTCTTGAAGTCAAAGCCTATTTACTAGCGCTTTGATCTTTCCTCATTCAATGTTAGGGTTAATTTGGAATATAAAATATGTGAGACATGGAAGGGCACATATAATATATAAAGCACACATTTTTTTAGTGACTTCAAAAGGACGAAAATTTTAATACGTATTTTTTTGGTGTATGTTATGCAATATTTTTGCCGGTACTGAACCGATTTTGATATTTTTTCCTGCAATCAGTAATGCTTTTTATTTCGTGTCATACATATTCCCTGATGATTAAACAACCTGCTTTTGTTACCATTTCTCTTTAAGGAATTAAATCTTGCTTATTTTCTATACTTATAATAAATGTGTCAGAGAGGTCAATTCTGCACATGAAATATATTTTGAAAATAACTATCAGGGGGTGATAAGTGATCGATACTGATGCCAAAAATGCAATCAGTAAAATTTTTGTCTGTCTGTCTGTCTGTATGTTCGTTATAGAAACAAAAACTACTCGACGGATTTTAACGAAACTTGGTACAATTATTCTTCATACTCCTAGGCAGGTTATAGTATACTTTTCATCACGCTACGATCAATAGGAGCAGAGCAATGAAGGGAAATGTTGAGAAAACGGGAGAAGTTACTCCATTTTTAAGCTTCCGTCGCGTGTGCAGCCTTAATGGCCACTTTTTGAAATGTAATAATGTCCACCCGTGCGACCGCCGGGACGGGCTGCTAGTTGTGAAATAAAATGTACTTGGAGAGACTTGTATCGACATGTTAAATTAAATATGAAAATTTTTAACGTTCACCGGTACCGTGTATTTTTTAAACTATAACTAGTCTAAGGACGCACAACGGCCCAAATGAGAGGCTAAGTGCGGAAAACAGAGTCTTTCTTACATTACAACTAGTCTAAGGGGATTGAATATCTCTTAATTTTTTTAAAAAGCGTAGATCCGCCAAAATGCAATCGAGCGAGGCGTTGTAAAGTCACATAACCATCGTGGAAAGTACACTATCCTGTATGTTACATATTTATTGCATTCTGTAGGTAGCATGTATAAATCCCTTCCATCTCGATTGTGTACTGGTATTTTACTTACACAATTCGCTTGGTGCCCGAAGGCGAATTCTTCACCATAATATAGTGATTCAAGGGTACCGGATTGTACGGCGCGGAACAATGTATTTTATGGTTATCGATAAAGACTGTTGCGACTGTATTAACAATCACTTCGCTCTTATACAACAATTAAAAATCATGGCAATCGTGATATGATGAAATTTGAACGCATCGGCCATGGTTTTAAGATTCTAGAAATATGAGCATAAATCGCTTTTTATAGTATTATACCTATATATTTTCCTGTTCAAGGGAAACAAGGAATATATCTTGTATAAAATATAACGAATAAAAATATTATTCACCATATCATGTTGATGACATTGCCAGTATATTATTTTTAATGTGTTATATGAAAAAAAGTAAAGCGAAATATGAGTTTATAACAAAATACACATTGCGTGGTGTCATCTTGAAAAGCTCGAAAGTAGATTGCAAAATACACATTATATAACAAATCTATATATTTAATATTATGGAAGTTGTGATTGTAATATTTGTTTTTGTTTATGTAAAATTAAATAAAAGCTAGTATTGAACAAGTAAGTTTTATTTATCTTTTGTTATTTAACAATATTAATGAAATTTGTTTAGATCAGACATTTAAGTTTGCAAGAGTTGTGAGTAAATTTAAATCGCTTGTTAGTATTTCGACATTGGAGTTCACTGAAATTTGATTTACTACCTAGGTATGAAAGAGATTATGATAATTAATGCAGTATTGCGGTACTTACCATGTTGATCTGGGGGGAAAATATGGGGCTCAGTGATAGTTTTTAATAGTTTTATTGTGGAGAAGGGGGGGGGGGCAAGGTATTGTTAGTAATACAGAATACCAATCGCATTGCTGGCAATATATCCAGTCAGGTCGACTTCGACGTGGCCCCCCTGGCAACTATCGTGGTTTCAGGTGTATTCATCATCCCGACTATTCATAACTGACGTGTCTTTTTATTCTCACCTATCATCTTTCACTGGTGCCCCGCTAGCGCAGGCGGGGTTACAATTACATTATCATCAATTAAAAAAAGGAATCGGCATCATTGCTAAAAATATGTCAGGTCGACCTCCATTCGGTTCCCCCTGGAGATCATGGTAATTTCCTGTCAATTTGTCACAATGGGCTTGAGGAGATTTTGCCAGTAGTTGCCATATTTGGCAACCGCAGTTTGGCTTTGGTAATGTTTTAAGAAGATCGCTATTGTCCTTCCCTCGACCATTAAGTTCCCTTAGTGACTTTTTACGACACCCACGGGCAATATATGTCAATATCGCACATACAATTTATTGCCATATAAATAAGAGATTAGATTGGAACATATCTAGAGTATTGTTTTGCATTAATGATTATTTTCCTTTGAAAAGAAGGATTTTTTATTTATTAATATTTTTTTTATCTTTATTGCACCATAAACAAAAATATACAATGACAAATGAATAATTCAAGTGAAATACAGTAACATAAATACAGATTGAAATATACACATAAAGGTAAAAAAAGCGGTCGCTAGGGCAATCTCTTACAGACAACCTTTGGTTAAAGGAAAACAAATAGAAGA